CCCCATTAAAAGTCTCTTGTCTGTGGACTATTTATAAGAAAACACTAAATCTAAATCTGTTTTCCTTCTAGGCGGAGAAAGTAATCCAAAGCCTGCAAGGGTTCAAACCTCTGAAAATATCCAGGAAAGATCATGATTAATTATAAACGTTTTCTTTTTCAAAATGTACTAATTTAAACCTGCCAGATATCGAATGAAATGTAATAAAATGTTAACGTTATGTTAAAAGTATTCTAAACAATCTAACTTCTCCCCCAAGCTTGGCCTTATCGATCTCTGAAATCTTCAAACGCATGCTTCACAAAATCCGACTTACAGTTTTTTTTTTACAGCCAGCTTAAACGGACTTTTAATCCAGAAAGGAACTAAACAGTGAACACTAGCCACAAATCCAAATTTAACAGCAGCAGTTAATATTTCAAATATAAACTATTTGATCTTATAGGTATTATTGTTAGAAATATTAAAGGTATATAACATCAGTTTTGGAAGAAATAGGAATAAGAACATTTTTGACGAATGTTTAAGTTCCTTTCTTTTAGTTCTTCAAGAATATACTATTTCTAGTAAACCTATAAAGATTTGGTTTGCAACAACAAGGTTTGAAAATAGGCACTATAGACAGTTTTCCAGAACATATCCTTATCTTTTAAATTGCTTGACTTCCCCCTGCACTCTGTAAACATGCTGTAAACATTCAAGATTTATGATTTCAAAACAGAAATTATTGTTTAGTTATGCTTTCAACTTTCATTTTCGGAGTCAAAGTTTTGTATGCAATCTTAACAAGAGATTGATTAGTTTAATGGACTAGTCGAGTAGAAAAGGAAAGATAGTAAAGATAGATAGCTGCATATCAAAATATATATTGGAATTAGATAACTCAATTGTTTTACGAGATAAATGCGAGGATATTAGATATACAGGGTGAGTAAAAACATTTTGGAAAACAATAAAATAAACATTTTCCCAACAATTTTTAACATATTTAATTTTAATTTTTTTTATTTGATTTCGCGAATTTTTTTCTTCAAACGTTTCATAAATATTTTTTTGTCACATTTTTCTTTGTTATGCCTAAAATCTGAAAAAATCAAAACTTTAGAAAATTTTGTCAAAACATCGATAATCCCATTTTTTTACTCCTCCTGTATGTTCGATTGATTTCTTTCGATAGATTGAATTCATTTCAATCCTAACAGACTTGATGGATTAGTTAAATGAAATGGATTGAATGGTTTGGATGGATTGGAAAAGTTTGGATGGATAGGCTCATTAGGATCGTTCAAGTTATTTTCTTTAATCGTTGAGTAGAGTTTATTTATGTGTATTCGAGGGACTGATTGGGTTCATGGGTTTGTATTGTAGATTTGATAGCTAGGATAGATTTGTTTAATCATGAGCTGGAGTAGGGATATAGAAATAACTGATAGCTCGGAGATCTCAATCAAGCTCAGTGGTAATTTACTCCAGGTAAACATATTTTTTTATATATTATTAGTTTTACTACAGGTGTGTAAGGAATCAGGACATACAAAAAATACTGATTGTACTGCGCAGATACATTAGGATATTTAAACCGAACCTGTTTTTACTCCAGGCATACCAGAAAATTCTAACAAAACCTGATTTTAATCCAAGCTAATAAGGATTTACAAACAATTCTAAATGCACTCCAGAAATATCAGGATATTCGAACAGAACCTGATTTTACTCCAGGCCGGTTAACAAGGATATGCAATCATTCCTAGGTTTACTCCATGTATATTTTATACTAATATGCTATGAAAATCCTAATTGTACTCCAGGTATACCAGGATATTTGAACAAAACCTTAATGTACTCCTGGTACACTTGATAATATGAACAAAACCTGAATAGTACTCCAGGTATACAAAGATATTTAAACAGAACCAGATTGTACTCCAGGTTACCAGGATATTCAAACAGACCTGATTGTTCTCCAGGTAAACCAGGATATTCTAACAAAACCTTAATATTGTACTCCGGGTGTACCAGGATATTCTAACAAAACCTTAATATTGTACTCCAGGTAAACCAGGATATTTTAACGAAACCTAATAATTGTACTCTGCAGGTATACCAGGATATTCAAGGGCATACAAGAAGGCCCAGTTTTGCAGAATGTTTACAGGACATATACAAACAAAGCTAATTCCACCCCACCCCACATAGCGCATTCACTAATATCAATAAAAATAAAAACAGCTAGCTGTCAGTTTCAAGGCGGACAATTCCTAGATTCAAGAATTATTTTTTTAATCAAGGGAAAGTCTGCTTGAATTCCCACTTGAACTGAAGGTCGCAGGGTGCAGCAAACTCTGCATAGTTCAAATTTTAAACTTAATTTCATTTTTCAAATGCATTCTTTTGTGATTTGTTAACCTGACACATGTGTCCGGTCTCTGTCCTGTTAAAGGGACAACAAACGTAAAATAACTACTTTTATAGAGTATCCAATGCACAACGGTACCTTTTAAACCTTTTTCTGATCAAGAACGAATGAGCTATTAATGTTTTTCTTTTAAAAATTTGATTACTTCCAATTATGGGTTCAAGACTCAAAAGTGACTTGCGGATTTCAACTTACAGACACAATGTAGTTATTGTCAGAATTAATCACATTTTGCTGAAATTTACAGATTCTATCTTCGACTTGCTTTTTGTTTTTCAAATTTAAAAACGACAGGACTTTAATAAAGTTGTTAGTGACGACCTATATTTCTATTAGAAAAAAACGAAATTTAAAGGGCCCGATAAATGGCTTTGTTAATTCTATCAATTTTGTACATATATACAATGTACAAAGTAAATTGTACACGAAGATACAGCTTTGTACATTAAAGTTAACAAAGTAAATTATAAATTACTAAGATCTGAAATAATTAGTATCTTACAACACGGCAATAGAGAAGATTAGGGTAAATTAGATAGAAACAAATAATTAAGAATTCCAGTTTGACTTAAAATTATTTCACCACTTTGTGGAATAGCTTAAACTTAATAAAGCAATTATCAGCTATGTTTACCTTAAATCTTTTGCCAAATCGGATGATTTCATTAAAAAAATCCGCAAACTAAAAACGGCTTCGGATGAGATTTGTTTTTTAAATCCGCAAACTATGTGCAAATAAATAACATATTATCTAATAATAACTCTAATGACACAAATGTTGAATTATTTTTTTAATAAATAAACTAATAATCCCGATCCCTTGATCCCGATATCCAGAGTGGACACTTTTAATTTGAGGATCAACAATTAACCTCTTCATTTCAGTTATCCCTTTAGGGTATAAATACACTGCGGATATCGGAAAAAAGATTAAATTAATCTGCAGATTAACAAAAGATCAAGATCATCATTGATCTCAATTTTCACAATACAAGAGCTCCTCATATAGTGTTTCTGCACCTAGCATCAAAACAAGGTTGGTTTGAAGAACTTGTAAGATGAGGAACTAATAATTATCCTCTAACTCTAATTTTGTAATCCCTGTATCTGAGCAACCTCATGGTATAAACCTTAGATATATCAAAATATGACTCTTTGATTAAGCGGACTTCACAGTGTTAAATATCAAAAGTCTACAACATTAGAGCTGAGAACTTTTGTGTTGGAGTCCCATAATACTGATCACTTGATCTCGATTACTATAGTGGACACTTACGAATTTTGAGCAGAACCTCTTGAATATCCATAATTTCTCTGTTCTCTCATTGGTTAAATGAAAAAGTTCCTGCAGCTCCTGGTTGCCGGTTAGTTTACTATTGACGCGCAACGCTCTTCAAGGGATATCGAAAAAGATTAAATTATTCTGTAGATTCACAAAAGATCGAGATCAATGCTTGATCTCACCATATCCACGATTCAAGAGTTCCCAACTTAGGTTGATAATATAGAGTATAAAATCTGAATTCAAATAAAATCAGATCAAATATATATATTTGTCTCAAGCATACATTATATATAGAAAATCAAATAATTTAAAACATATTTATGAGACTTGAGACGGGAGGGGGGGATTGATAGCCCCCCGCACACAGTCCCCCCTCCCCCTCTGGAGAGTCAGTTCAAGCGATGATGCTGACTTGAGGAGGTGGATGCTGGAGATTATGCTGCTTATGGGATGGAGGGAGCTGGAGAGTTCATAAACGTCGGGGGTACCTTCATTCTCAGGATGGAACACATAAAATTAAATAAGAGTTAAAGGGATGGAGCAAGAATTACAAAACAGTTTTCACATTGAACAACAAGATTATCGAGAGGTTTGGCTTTTAAAGATTGTTTAATAATAGATTTTTGAGCATATAAGTTCAGACGAAAGCAAATTCCAATCAGTGGGAAATGAGTTAAAAAGGAAATCGTCTAAAAAATTCTGTTCTTACTTTCGGCACATAAAAGTCATTTAAAGGAATTGAGTTTTTGCAGCAAACTCAGATTTTCTAACCCCTATATCCTTGCAACTTATGTCGTTATTGACCTTAGATATTTCAAACTATGAATTCTGAAAGATCAATTAACCTAAGTTTGAAATATCACAGGTTTACACCATCAGGATTAAAAGTTATAGGAATTGGAAAATTTGAGTTTGTGACAAAAACTCAATTCCTTTCTCATAAAATCAAGAAGGTAGCATTTCTTACAAATAATTTATCAAAAGAACTAGGCAATAGAGAATGATTGAATAAATGTATAAATTGAAGATTTTTATGTAAGATCAGCTCAGGTAAAGGTAAAATACCTGTGCTATAAAATAAAGGCTGTGTATGAGCATTATACTTAAACTTGGTTATCAATCTAATAGCTAATTTTTTGTTTATTTAATAAAAGATTTACATTATTCTAGCTAGTGCAAGATATAATTGGTAAACAATACAATAAATGAGGATGAATTAAAGCATAGTAAAGATATTTAAGGGCTGATGAAGTCAATATATGTTTAGCATTTTTTAATGAGAACAAAGACTTTGAAGCTTTTGATGTAATAAATTTAAATGGAAGTCAAAAGTCAAATTCTCATCAAGATAAACACTGAGGATGGAACTTTCGATATATTAGTAATTCGTTCAATAGGAAATACAAGTGAAGGGTTAGAAAGAGTATCAGAGTCATTGTTATCAAGTTTAGCGGAGAGTGACTAGTCAAATTCTATTTATTCTCTAATTGTGCGCTATGAGTATTCAAGATAAGATCCCGGATGGATAAATTAATCTAATTAGAATCAGAAACCACACTGCTTCCGTGTTACAATTAATTTCAACATTTGTGTCATCAGAATTATTATTCTTCTTATTATTATTATCACTATTATCACTATTATCACTATTATCACTATTATCACTATTATTAATGTTTGAATTCAAATTTCTAATCATTATTTTTTTATTACATTTGTAGAGTTAATATTATTTTTCTAATGATTATAATTATTATAGTTAGTTGAGGATCCATTTACCCGTGAACTGCTGCCAGTCAGCACTATTCGAACCCAGTTTATCAGGTCAGTAATACACTATTAGAACCCAGTTTATAAGGTTACGAAATAAACTATTCGAACCCAGTTTTTCATGTCAGGACATACGCTATTCGAACCCAGTTTATCAAGTCAGTAAATACACTATTCGAACCCAGTTTATCAGGTCAGAGTTTCAGATAGTGAGTTTAAATCTTGTCGTTTCTACAGACAGCGTGTATTATGCTGCTGGTTACGTGCTCCATGTAGTACTGGAGCCCCGCAATGTGGTCGATGTCCCTCTCTTCCGCAGTAAAAAAAACCCCAACTCATCCTCATGGTGAGTGAGATTCAGAGCATTCTTGGTCTCTGACGGCGGCGGAGGGATTGACCTGAGCTCCGGGCCTATTCTGAACCATTTTTTGATACCATGTAGAGCTTGTGAAAGGGTTCCTTTGCGAAGGAGGATATCAGCATCCTGTTGGCGATGGAGAGGAACTTGTACTTCTTCACCGGATGTACCGGGATGTCTGAGTAGCAATGCTCTGCCTCCAATAGTTTGACAATCATTTCTTGATATGAGGACTGGTGCTCTATCTTGCCTCGTTTGAACACAAAGACTCCACTGCCTAGATGATGAGGTGGAGCTTCTGAGGGTTGTTTCATTTTGGCTTCAGAGGACATCTGGACTCTTAGATCATTCCTCCGTCCATCTCCGAGCTCGAGTTTGTACCTGAGGAATAGTGCTAGAGACCGTAATTTGACAGCATTAATCAACTCTTCATTTTATTTATCCTGGACATTCTGAAACCCATTTAACTCAGAATAGATTTGAGCTTCCTCCGCAATGAAAGGCCAGGGAGAGAATACTCCTTCCAGTTCCCTTACTTCTCGAAAGAGGAAGGATGTTTTTGGCAGATTCCAAGAATAGGTAGGGAAAGCTCCTTCACATCCCAGACTAAAGTTGATCTAAATACACAGGACATTTGCCTAGGGCAAATATATTTTCATTTGGCTCTTTTGATCAGATGCTTAATGCTAACTGCTGAGTCTCGGGGGATCTGGGGGATAAGAAGGCCAAAAATACTGCTTTCTTTGCGGGCTAGATAAATACCGTTTCACTCCTTTTTCCAGCAATAATCTTACCCTAGCTGTCCTTTAAATTGCCCTTTAAACGGGACCAACTTGATATCTCCAGATGAGAAATTGGGTTCAATAACCTTGTCCGCATAGCCTGTTATGTATTTAAGGCTGCAAACATACTCAGGGTTCAATACCCTTTTGGACTGAATCTGAATTGTTTGGCTTTATTCTTGGATTGCGTTTGTCAAACATTGTTTCTCCAACTGGGAGCAATGAACTTATACGATACTATATACACATAGGGGAACCCTTGGCTGGGTTCACAATATATGGATAATGTGCAGAACTAAATCGTTCAGGGGAATAATTGTTTACTTTTAGTTGAGTCTACAATAAACTAAACAGTAAAATGTAAACAAAGTCTATCCCCCTCTTTTTTCTTTTTTTTTACAATGTATTTGAAATAGATATTTTCTAAATGAATTATTTAATTTCTGAAATTTATTTTTTTTAGATTAAAATCTTTTTGATTCATTTTCAGCTTCTTCCTTTATTGACTAAAATTACGCAATATCATTTTTGATTCCTTTTTTTCTTTGTCCCTTTAAAAATTGTTACTATTGCATACATACAAAACAAGTTTGAAACTTGTTATATTCATCTCCTTTATTCTATATTGAGTTCTAGAAGTGATGGTACGGGATACCCCTCGAGGGATTTTATCATTCTGAACTTTTAGTAGATTATTCCGCTATATCGAACTTTTAATTTATTCGTTCGATTAATTGGAAATAATACTAAATCAATTTCAGTTCTAAAACTCAGATTACACACAGATTAAACCTAGAAGGCATTCAAACCTATTTCCTCATATTAATAACTGATTTATTAACAGAAATTACCTAATTGAGATTAATTATTAACAACTTCTTTATAGATTTATTTAAAGATTAATGGTCAATTATTGATTTTAGGGAAACCTTTAAGTTTACTGCCTTTCAAGAGAATGCAATTACTCTTCTTGTTCAACCAAAGGTATACATCAATATAATTTTACTTATAAAAGTAACGTCCTTTATTTATCTGAGTAACGTCCTTTATTTATCTAGTAACGTCCTTTATTTATCTGAGTAACGTCCTTTATTTATCTAAGTAACGTCCTTTATTTATCTGAGTAACGTCCTTTATTTATCTAAGTAACGTCCTTTATTTATCTGAGTAACGTCCTTTATTTATCTAAGTAACGTCCTTTCTTTATCTAAGTAACGTCCTTTATTTATCTAAGTAACGTCCTTTATTTATCTAAGTAACGTCCTTTATTTATTTAAGTAACGTCCTATTTCTATCTGAGTAACTTCCTTTATTCATCTAAGTAACGTCCTTTATTCATCTAAGTAACGTCCTTTATTTATCTAAGTAACGTCCTTTATTTATCTGAGTAACGTCCTTTATCTATCTAAGCAACGTCCTTTATTTATCTAAGTAACGTCCTTTATTTATCTGAGTAGCGTCCTTTATCTATCTAAGCAACGTCCTTTATTTATCTAAGTAACGTCCGTATAATTTTTATTCACACGATAATATAGGCACAACACAAATACAGATTACTCATTGATCTGTTAAAACTATATTTAACTTTATTTTTAAAACTTGAAAATACATATTACTCATTAATCTAGTCAACGGAAGACAATCTTATATATAATCCTATACCCCGCAGTAAACCGCGCGGTTATTAAAATATTACGGGAATAAATATGTCCTCTAGTTGTAACGTACTTAAACACAGTAACCTCATCATGAAAGTACTGAGAATTTGCTTTTATCTCCAATTTTCTAAAAATTGTAAAAACTCACTTCACACTTTCTGGGTCTTTTACATCTGTAAAATCATCATTTGTCCTACAAAATTTTGTCCTACAATAGTTTGTCCTTCTATAGTTTTTTCCTACGATCGTTTGTCCTGTAATAGTTTTGTCTTACAATAGTTTTTCATACTTTATTTTGTCCTACAATAGTTTCTCCTACAATAATTTGTCCTGCAATAGCTTTGTCTTACAATCGTTTGTCCTAAATAAAATATAATGCCATAAACTTATTTATTCTACAAATCAATACTCTTCATTTTTCCTACAATAGGAAGAATACATAATTTGTCCTATACATCCATTTTAAATGAAGTGTTGGACAAATGATGCATAGGACAAATGAAGTGTAGGACAAATGATGTATAGGACAAATGAAGTGTAGGAAAAATGGTGTGTAGGACAAATGAAGTGTAGGACAAATGATGTGTAGGACAAATAAATTGTAGGACAAATGATGTATAGGACAAATGAAGTGTAGGACAAATGAAGTGTAGGACAAATGAAGTGTAGGACAAATGATTAGTTTGACCAATGATGTATAGGACAAATGATTGTATGACAGAAGATTGTAAGGAAAATAATTGTAGAACAAACGATTATAGGACATTTGACAAAGTGCCTAATATTCCTGAATTCTGTCAGTTTACACTATATCTCTACAGTATATCTGTACCAGTGGCGTAATCAATGATTAACCCAGGGGGGCTTAATTTGTTTTCTGGTCGTGGGTGGGGGGTCAGCACCCATTGAGGCCTAAAACCCCCTGGAAACCATAGATCTCAAAGATCCATGGGGGCCACCATACGCCTCTGATCTGTACCGTGTACAGTATATAGAGTACAGTGTAAATAGTATACTGTGTACAGTGTACAGTATATAGTGTACCGTGTACAGTATATAGTGTACCGTGTACAGTTTACTGCATTGCCAATTACTCATTTTAGATTAAAGGGGAATATTCAGCCTTGTTTGGAATTGTTCAGATTTTAAAATGCATATCGTTAATTAAACTTGGAGCTTTCAATTAATCCATTTTAATGCAGATTTTAACTAGAAAATTATACCGCAAACATACATTTCCCATCTTACATTAACAAACATTAAACAAACTGTAAACTGTAAACTGTAAACTGTAAACTGTAAACTGTAAACTGTAAACTGTATACTGTATACTGTAAAACGGAAACTGTAAACTGTAAACTGTAAACTGTAAACTGTAAACTGTAAACTGTAAACTGTAAACTAAAAACTGTAAACTGTAAACTGTAAACTGTAAACTGTAAACTGTAAACGGTAAACGGTAAACGGTAAACGGTAAACGGTAAACGGTAAACGGTAAACTGTAAAATGTAAAATATAAACTGTAAACTTTAAACTGTAAACTGTAAACTGTAAACTGTAAACTGTAAACTGTAAACTGTAAACTGTAAACTGTAAACTGTAAACTGTAAACTGTAAACTGTAAATTGTAAACTGTAAACTGTAAACTGTAAACTGCTGCTATAATTAATTGTGCAAAATATTCAGGATAATGCAAAACCTTTGGCTGGAAGTTTGGCATTCTATAGGTAATAACAATAATGAAAACAAAGATAATAATAACCTAGAAAAAAGTATAATTTTGAATATTTTCAGAAAATTATCTAACATCAGCAAAACCCAGAATATTCTTCTCTCCCAGCTGAATATAAATTCTGCAGGGGAATCAGGTTTCAAATTTAAATAATAAATATGAGAAATGTGTTTCTTATTGTTAAAAGATTTTTTACAAGAATACAAAAAAATTATTGTACTGTTTTTAATGGAGTATATTCAAATTACCTAGTTATTAAAGGGGGTGTTCACTTATTTGAATATATATCATAGTGTAAAGTGTTTATATACCTTTTAGAGACTTAGGAACACATTTAAGCCATTCTTACCGTTTAAAGGGTCAGAATGATCGATAAAAATTAATCAGAGTTTGTCAAAAAAAAAACTAACTTTCTTGTTAATTTTTCGTTAAAAAATCAGACGATGTTTTTAAAGTTTCATAAATTTCATTAAATTAATAAAAGCGTGCTAATTTGTATGAATTTGACGTATTCTTATAATCAGTAAGATCAAAAAATTAAATTTTATTGATATAATCTCTCAAGGAATTAGTTTAAAACATCAAAGATAAAAACTTTAATGATTTTAACGAAACTTTACTTTTTACTTTAAACTTTATTTTTCTAGTTTTCATCACAGTTTTGACTTTTACAAACTAGAAATTAATTTTGTCGTAAAATAAAGGGCCACCAACATACAAGGTTAACCATAAAGGATGAGACTGTAAAGACGACAGTTCAAGCTTGATTTTTGGTTTCTACATTCATTTGCGTATTTTGATGGTTTAAGAAATTATCAAGCAGAGAATTAGGCCAGTTTAGGCCAACAAGGAACCTGTACATACAATGTTAATCTAAAAAAAGCGGAATTTCTTAATAATTGAGATAAGAGCTGAAAGTCGTATTTGACGATTTTAATAGTTTGCAGCATCCATTTGGCAACCTAATTTTAGAAACATTTTAATCAAACAATGCCATTCTTATAATTTGCCCTTTCAAAATTATCCTGCTATTTCCAAATGTGGTCTGCGATTTTTGTTATTGAAAATTACCATAGGTATTAAGAAATTTGTTAACATCTCAATTTATAAAAAAACTGTCTATTTCTGAAAAATTCATTCAAAACCCCGGTCATTATGAAAGTACAAAACATGCAGACCAATTTCAGAAAGAGCGGGACTCGAAATTTTTTCTGATTATTGTGCCTGATAAATATCAGGTTGCCAAACTAATGCCACAAACTATTTCAAAGGTCAAAGACGAGTTTTAAGTCTTATCTCTATAGTTAGAATTTCATTTTCTCTCAGAATAGAACTTTATTCTATTTCTTCGTCTGATTATTATCACAATTCAGATTAAATTAAACCCACTGAGTTGGTTAATTTAAAGTCCTATTCTGTGTGGATAGCCCAGTACTTTCTACCTGATCTAACGATGCATATGAATCTGTTCTAGGAATTCAACGCCTCACAGCTTAACAAGAATCTAGAGTTCTAAAATGTTTTAACAAGAAATATATTAGTTTTTTCCAAATAAAAATATTTCTAGTCGAGTTAAGTTAAAAAATTTAAGAATTAATAATAATATAAACAATAATTAAGTTTAAGAACTATCAGATGTAAAGGCTTGTAGGCCTTGTAGTTTTAAAGGAATAAATATGTAGCCCTTAGTAAAAATGTTATACAGTTTTGTCTCTATGAAAAATAAAAGCATCCTATAGGAGGTAGAATTAAACCAGACTCTAGTAAGGTCTCCTTATTTACCTGCAAACCAAAGATAACAAGTATCTTTGCAACTTGGTGGTGTAAAGCTTTGTTAGTTCAAACTGAGATTCTTTTATCCTACAGAATTCGTATTTTGAAATATTTAATGTTTACTGCATTGGATTTCAAAGATATAAGGATTAGAAAATCAGAGTTTTTGGCAAAGATTCAATTCCTTTACTCTTGTAACCTAGAAAATAATCCTAAGGAAAAAAATCCCCCAAAAATATTTAAATTCCTAAACCGAGAAACCTATTTTTCAGGTTCTCCGGATGAGTTTATAAAGGAAGATGTTGAATTCCATTATACTGATTCTTTATCTAGAACGAAACACGATCAGGTAGACCTTTTTAGGCAATTCATTATTTATCAATGAAAACAAAACAGAATTTTTTTGCATAACTTTTTTAATCCTTAGTCATTTCATTTTTGAAAAAGATTATTTATTGTTGATTGTTAAGTTGTTAAGTTAAGTTGATTGTTATTTAAAATTTACAAAGCTAATTTATTTGTTATTGGATTGGGATTTATTTATTTATTTATTCATTTTGTTATAAGGATCTTCCTCTCCCCCGTCTTCTAGAGTCGGAATATGAAGAGGTGAAGAAACCAAGGTAAATAATATAATTTCTACAACTAATTTTTATCTGATAATTTAAATTATCCTATCTATACGATTGATATAAAGATTTTATTCTTATTTCATATTTTACATGTGTTTTGATGCTTTTAAAAATATTAAATCCAATTAATCAATATTTATATCATGATAAGATTTGTAGATCAATTTCCAAATAATACTCTGTACACTGTTCAGGTATTCTGAAGAAGATATTTATGAGAAGATTGAAGCTAAAGCGGAGAATGGTAGAACCACTCTTTCCAAGATTAACAAGAATAAGGTAAACCAAGAATAAGGATGGTAGAACTAATCTACCCAAGATTAACAAGAGTAAGGTTAACCAAGAACAAGAATGGTAGATCTACTCTATCCAAGATTAACAAGAGTAAGGTTAACCAAGAATAAGAATGGTAGAACCACTCTATCCAAGATTAACAAGAGTAGTAAACCCAAGAATAAGAATGGTAGATCTACTCTATCCAAAATTAACAAGAGTAAGGTAAACCCAAGAATAAGAATGGTAGATCTACTCTATCCAAGATTAACAAGAGTAAGGTTAACTAAGAATAAGAATGGTAGAACCACTCTATCCAAGATTAACAAGAGTAAGGTAAACCAAGAATAAGGATGGTAGAACTAATCTATCCAAGATTAACAAGAGTAAGGTAAACCAAGAATAAGAATGGTAGATCTACTCTATCCAAGAGTAACAAGAGTAAGGTAAACCAAGAATAAGAATGGTAGATCTACTCTATCCAAGATTAACACGAATAAAGTTAACTAAGAATAAAAATGGTAGATCTACTCTATCCAAGATTAACAAGAGTAAGGTTAACTAAGAATAAGAATGGTAGATCTACTCTATCCAAGAGTAACAAGAGTAAGGTAAACCCAAGAATAAGAATGGTAGATCTACTCTATCCAAAATTAACAAGAGTAAGTTTAACCAAGAATAAGAATGGTAGATCCACTCTATCCAAGATTAACAAGAGTAAGGTTAACCAAGAATAAGAATGGTAGGTCTACTCTATCCAAGATTAACAAGAATAAAGTAAACCAAGAATAAAAATGGTAGATCTACTCTATCCAAGAGTAAGGTTAACCAAGAATAAGAATGGTAGATCTACTCTATCCAAGAGTAAGGTAAACCAAGACGGCTATTTTCTGACAATTAATTAAAAAGTATAATAGAGAAATGTTGTTAAAGGTCAAATACAAATATCATAGTAAATAAATGAATATAAAGTTACAAAAACGAATATCTTTACTGTTAAGTCATGCTTTTAAAACCTATTCTTTAATGAAACTCTAAGATAAATTGGGGTGAACTTCCCCCCCCCCCTCAACTCCTCGTTCTTCCACATTGAAAATGCATCAGTCAAACAAAGGGGATAATGGAGTTGAGCCTTTGCCACAACTCACATTTTCTCATCCGTATATCTTTGCAACCTATTGGTGTAAACCTTTGGTATTTCAAACTTTTACTTGATCTAACGAAATTCAAAGTTTTTAAATATCTAAGATCTACGAAATTGGGTTTCTAAAGATATAGGGTTAGAAAATCAGGTTTAGTGCACAAACTATACATTTGTACGCTTTACTGTTTGTTTGTTCATTACTCAAGAACTCATGAAGCAATTTGCCTTAAATTTTGGTAAAATCTTAGCTTTGTTAGAAATTCTTTGTTGCATAGGTAATTTGATCAGGTTCAATTCCATTTGACTTTTGGAGATTTCCTTGCAAAGCTGGGTTTCCAAGCTCATATTGTATATAGTATACAAATTTTGTTTATTATTCTACAGATTCCAGATTCTCCTGAAGACCCTCCTCTGTCTACTAAAACAGGAACACTTTGCAATCAAGATTTTTTTTAGCTAAGAAAAATTCCTGGAAAAAAACTTTTAAACCGCCATTTTTAAAGAGAAATTATATCTGAGCCTTTAAGATATTCTTTTTTCGATCATGTAGATAATTAGATTATTAGATAATTAGATAATTAGATGATTAGAACATTAGATAAATAGATGATTAGATAATTAGATAATTAGATAATATTTTCAAATGGATATTTATTTAATGATAATGAACGTAAACTTGCAAAAACTTTAGTCCGGGGAAATGTCTTAATATTTAAAACTTACATATCCCAACAATAAATAAAATAAATAAAAAAAGGCCAAATTTCTAATTTCACATCCTGGTCACCGTGAATTACATGGATGAACTTCTTAATTCTGAGCTAGATAAATTTCTTACGTCATTAACATTTGACTAAAAAGCAAATCTATAACATTTGAAAGAGAACATTGTTAATTAACAGATTAAACAAATCAATATCATAGCGTATAAAAGTTATTTCTAGTACAATTAAAAAAAAAAATATTTGTGAACATTATCACTTTTCCTCTTTCGTACAAATAAAAAAAGACAAGATGTTATCTTTAATTTAATTCTGTAGAATTGTATCGATGTCTAGTATTTAACTAATCTCTGTATCTGAACAAATTGCAAATTGTTGAAAATACAGAAACGTTCAAAATGGCGACTTTAACACCAGAACAAGGGGAGAAGAAAGAAATGAAAGAGAAGAAAGAAGAAAGCAAAAAAGAGAAGAAGAAAAAAGATGAAAAGAAAGAAGAAAGTGTTTCTATGAAAAGATCCAACCTTTCTCTGGACAAGTTGAAAAATTCAAACCTTTTCAGGAAGAAAGATAAAAAGGTTACCTTCAATGCATTTTTAGAAATCTGTAAACTTGAATAGATTTATCTATCTATCTACCACTACTATATTCAATTTTGATCCGAGTAGTTGAAAAATTCTTCCACGACGTGTTCTTAAATATAGTTTCAAAACCAGTATTCCTTTTGGGGATTTTTATCAGTTCTGGATATTTTGTCTAAAAAAAATTAAAACTGGATAAAAAAAAACAATATCATTATTATTAGTATCGATCCTTATAAAGTGTGCAATCTTTCTTAAATAGCAGAGGAACAATTTGCTTATTATGGAACCAATTCCCCTCTGAGTTATGCATAAAGTTTAGACATAAGTTACAATTAAATTGAGCTTGTTCTCCTTTAGTTTAATATTCAACATTCTACTTAGATTATTATGCCAGAGTTTAAATCTACATATTTCATAAATTAAAGTGCACTAACTGTCCTTACTCTTCAGGATAGTTTTGTCTCTTCAATCCTATTCTAAACTTTCTTATTGTCTTATTCTTATAGCCTATTCTAAACCTTCTCCTCTTCCTATTTTTTAATCCTATGCTTAACCTTCTCCTTATCCTGTTCTTTATTCCTATTTTAACCTTCTTACTGTCCTATTCTTCATTTCTATTCTAAACCTTCTTCCAGTTCTATTCTTTAACCTTATATTCCTTACCTTTTTCTCGTCCTATTCTTTGATCCAATTCTAAATCTTATTCTTGTTCTATTTTTAATCTTATATTCCTAACCTTTTTCTCGTTCTATTCTTTAATCCTATTCTAAATCTTATTCTTGTTCTATTTTTTAATCTTATATGCTTTACCTTTTTCTTGTCCTATTCTTTGATCCAATTCTAAAACTTCTACTTGTTCTATTTTTTAATCTTAAATTCCTAACCTTTTTCTCGTTCTATTCTTTGATCCAATTCTAAAACTTATTCTTGTTCTATTCTTTAATCTTATATTCCTAACCTTTTTCTCGTTCTATTCTTTAATTCTATTCCAAATCTTATTCTTGTTCTATTCTTTAATCTTATATTCCTAACCTTTTTCTCGTTCTATTCTTTAATCCTATTCTAGATCTTATTCTTGTTCTATTTTTTAATCTTATATTCCTTACCTTTTTCTTGTCCTATTCTTTGATCCAATTCTAAATCTTCTTCTTGTTCAATTCTTTAATCTTATATTCCTAACCTTTTTCTCGTTCTATTCTTTGATCCAATTCTAAATCTTATTCTTGTTCTATTCTTTAATCTTATATTTCTTACCTTTTTTTCGTCCTATTCTTTAATCCTATTCTAAATCTTATTCTTGTTCTTTTCTTTAATCTTATTTTACTTACCTTTTTCTCGTCCTATTCTTTAATCCTATTCTAAACCTTCTCCTCGTCCTATTCTTTAATCCTATTCTAAATCTTCTTCTTTTCCTAATATTTAATCCTATTCTAAACCTTCTCATCGTCCTATTCTCTGATCATATTCTAAATCTCATACTATTCTTTAATCTTATTTTAAACCTTATGTCTCTTCCTAGTCTATAACCCTATTCTAATCCTTCCTATTTTCTATTTCTTATATCCTAACCTAAATCTTCTTCTCGTCCTATTTTTTATTCATATTATAAATATTCTTGTCCTTCTACTATTCCCGCCTCTCCTATTTATTATTTCTAATATCCAACCTGCTCCTAGTTGTTCTATACCTCGGATTTGTCTCCAAATCTCAATCACACAATTTCTCACTCTTGTCTGCAAAGGTATCCCATCCTATCCTGACACATCCAAAACAATATGATGGTCAAATCAGTAAGATAGAGTGATGGCTAGCTGACACAAAATGGACGAAATAGTGACGTACAATATGCTCAACTTTATTTTCATTGATAATATATTTAGGAGAAGGTAAAATCCTTCAAGAATACAGACCTAGATGAGATGAGAACTAGCTACGCCTTAACACAGGTCATTGCTAGATTAATCACAAATATTTAATGGTAACATTCCCTTTAAATGCAGTATACAATAGTTGTAGTTGTAGAATAGGAACTATTAAAATTGTATCTATTATTAAAACAGATTAAAGAGCATAGATCAGTTCAAGAAAGTGTGCTTAGTTTTTAGTTTACTTAAATTGATGTGTAAATTATTTTGATGCCAGTAAATAAAATCAATAAAATCTGGCACTTCTTTTAATCTTTAACTTACATGTTTTTTTAAAGATATGTTGAGTAAATAAACTCTTGATTTAAGGGTGTAAAAGTTGAGAAAGCAAGAAAGATCTCAGCTCCCACTCAATCCTATAAAAGTACAGATTTATATACACTTCAGAGAACATATGCTGAAAAGCAGGCAAGCCTAGAGTAAACAGCAAGTTACAAAAAATTCTTAACTTTTTTAAAAGTTCAAAGTTATGTGTGTATATATCTTTCAAGTTATGATATAAATATAATCTAATATTCCAGGGTGTCAAATCTGTAGAGATAAGAGAACCTAAGTTTCCTCAACAGAAGTTCGAAACCAAGGACGGATTTCACCGTGCTGAATCCAACCCAGATACAATTCAAACTGTGAACCCTGAGCCAAGGGACCAGAATCTGGAAAATGAGAATATTTTAAATGGGAAACTTGAAATCAGAATCCTGGAGAAGGAACCAACCATCCTGGGTAGAAAACCTTCCTCGAGTTCTCCTGAGTCTGAACCCATCTTTTCCAATACGAACTTTAAAGAAGATCAAGTTCAACCCTTAGAAGTTCATACCGATGCCGTTGAACTTTATGAGCCTGTAATATTGAATGCGAAAAACAAAGATCATGATGTAAAGAATGAAGATCATGTTACCAGAGAAGAAGATCATATCACAAAGAATAAAGATATTGTTATACATAATAACAGTCGTGGTACAGAAAATGATGATTATGTTAAAAATAATGATGAAAATGTTACCAACATTAAAGATCATGTCGAAAATATCTTAGATCATGTAAAAAATCATGAAGATACTATTACACAAGTTGAAATTCAAGAAATCAATGAAGACAAAAATGGCGAAATAAATGAAGTTAAAGAAATACAAAAAGAAATCATTCACGAAATAGGTGTTGTTGGTGAAATAGAAAAGATTGAAGGTGTTGAAACCACACCTAGCTCTAAGTATAGAAGTATACCTACACAGATTGAGTTTACAGACTCTAACACCCCAGGTGGAGAAGAAACCTCAACTCAACCTCTTCGGCCTGAGACAGGTCTGGAGAAAGAAGAAATCAAGTCCTCTGATGAGGTAGAAACCATTGGATTTATTGAAAATGATCGAAATGATGACATTATTGGATTTGATGTAAGACCTGAACTAGAGATCAGACCAGTTCAACCAGATTCAAAACAGCTGGATTTTCCAGGGTTTGGAGAAGAAAGCGAGATTAAGAAAAAAGCAAAGAAGAAAAGTTTTATTAAAGAATGGCAAGAGGACTTGAAAGAGTTCTTTAAGATCGGGAAGAAGAAGAGTGGAAAGGAGGCAGGAGATGAAAAGCATGAAAAATATCCCACAAAATCAGAGATTACGCCTCAAACAAGGAAGAGCATTTTATCAATTATCAAAGTTATAAAACGAAAAAGCCTCTAATAGTTTTTTTATTTTAAAAAATATTAGGATAATAATTGATAAAATGTCTAATTTTGCAGTGAACAGGCCCCACAAAGACAGACAAAGAGCGTAAAGGTTGAAAATGAGGCTGAAGAAATAAATAAACAGACAACGGAAGAATCTAAACCTTCTGTTCCTACGGAAGACGTGAAGAATGAAGACGCAAACGGCCTGAAAGAAAAGACAACTGATGACAACCCAAATCTAAAACCCAGAAAGAAAAATCGATCCAACCGAAGAAAAACCAACTCCGCGAACTACGAGGAGAGCGCGAACATCATGCTTGAAGTTAGGAACGCATTGAAAGAATCTGAGGATTCTGGAAACCTTGAAGGAGATGAATCTGGGAACCATGATGAGGATTTGATGAAAACTGAGCAGGTTGGAGGAGGAGACGGACAGAAGGGAAGAAAGAAGAAATTGACGAAAAAAGCTCAGAAACCTGAAGACGAAGAGGTTAAATATTCAAACATTTGCATTTCTACAAACAAAATTCTTAATCCCTATATCTAATTACAACCTTATGTTGTAAACCTTTAATATTTCATACTTAGATTATTTGATCTGACAAAATTTATAGTTTAAAATATCAAAGGTCAACGACATCGGGTTCCAAGGATTCCTTTAAGCATTAAATTATTACTCATTCTGGTTTTAACAAAGCATTAGTCACTAACTCTTCGTATGTCATTATATTGAGTTTAAGAGTGATAAGATGTATTTTGGCCTGAAATCGCCAAAACAGCAAGTATTGCCCTATTTCCCATAGATCGGTTAGAAAGGGGCCACAACAATGAATCTTATTTTTAGTTCGACCTGACAAGCATCTAGCAGTTTACCACTGCATCCCCTGGGTTATGAATAGGGGGTAGGGGGATGCAATCATGCAAGTTTATGGGACAAAAACTGGGCCTTTTAGGTGGAGCCATTTTATTTAGACCTTTATACTAAACAGACAGAAGAAACATATAATTCATATGGAAAATTTTTCATAATTTGACTGAAAGGGATTGTAAGCGTAATGTGAACAGAACCTCCCTGCCAAGATTGAAATGCCCGATTTACACCCTTTCATGCTTTGTCTGAATTAATTTGATATTAATGGTTTTAATTTTGAAAAATGATTATTTTTAATTGCAGTTTTTCTACAAAAGAGACTCGCGCATTACACTAAAGGAAAACATTGTAAATCGGACATTGTCATTTTTGCATGTGGGTCACTTGAAGTTACCCTTACAATCCCTTTAAAGGGATCGGGAGAGAGCGTAAGAGAAAGATCCGTCCTGGCTGCCGGAGGAAAACCTAAAGTGGTGGTGCCGACTCCTCGAGGTGAATAATCTAACAGAATTTTTAATCTTAAACAATATAAACTCAAAGATGTATTCTGTGTACATATTCTGTGAAGAATGGGATAAAAGAAAGACTGAGAAGTGAGTTGTATTGTTTTCATGAATTGAGAGAAGGGTCTGGGAAAACTTTTTTTTTGCAAACTAACTACCTTGTTTATTCTTGTTTTTCTCAACTCTTGCAAACCATGTTTTTCATTTCAGTAGCTGACATTAATATCTACTTTTACCTAACTATGCCAGGGGCTAAAAGAAATACTAGATAGGGCCTTTTATTCTGATTTATAGGAACAAGATTAAATGTTTTTTTTTTGTGTGAAGTAGTATAGTTGCATACAGGTTAGGGAGTATTAGATAGGAGTAGGATAAATGGGTATTAGTGAAGGTTATAAGGTATAGAAATGATATATAAATGATATATATAGAAATGATATAGAAATGATAATAGACGAAAGCAAGAGGGATAAATGAGTGATAGTGAAGGATATAAGAGAATTATTGCGTGAATATAGGATAAAGAAATGTTAAATGAAATGTTAAATGAATGATAGTGAAGTATATAAAAGAAAAATGGTTAGGTGGTTAAAAGGTAAAGACGAAAACAGAAAGAATAAATGAGTAAAAGAGAAGGATATAAGAGAAAGATTGAGTGGTTAAAAGGTAAAGACGAAAGCAGGAAAGATATATAAGGGATGGTGAAGGATATAAGAGAATGATTGAGTGTGACTGAAGAGTAAAGACGAAGGGGAAGAAGGATATAAGAGAAAGGTTGAGAGGTTAAAAGGTAAAGACGAAAACAGAAAGAATAAATGAGTAAAAGAGAAGGATATAAGAGAAAGATTGAGTGGTTAAAAGGTAAAGACGAAAGCAGGAAAGATATATAAGTGATGGTGAAGGATATAAGAGAATGATTGAGTGGTTAAAAGGTAAAGACGAAAGCAGGAAAGATATATAAGGGATGGTGAAGGATATAAGAGAATGATTGAGTGTGACTGAAGAGTAAAGACGAAGGGGAAGGATAACTAAATGATATTGAAGGATATAAGAGATGAGTGTGACTATAGGGCAAAGACTAAGGGGAAGGATAAATAAATGATATTGAAGGATATAAGAGAATGAGTGTGACTATAGAGAAAAAGACGAAGGGGAAGGATATATAAGTGATATTGAAGGATATAAGAGAATGATTGAGTGTGACTATAGGGTAAAGACGAAAGGAAAGGATAAATAAATGATATTGAAGGATATAAGAGAATGAGTGATTGGATAAAGAGTAAAGACGAAAGCAGGATAAATGATGAAACTTCCCTTGTGTTTTATTTGAAGGTTTGATATAAGATTATCCTTGTTTATTTTCCTAATATACGAAGGGACGACGGAAGGGGGAAAACGAAGGGACAAAGGGTGGGTGGGGAGATAGGGTGAAATATATAGAGGGGAGGTGGGGGAAATGTGGGGAATTTGGGTGGAATATATAGGGGGAGCTGGGGGAAATGTGGGGGATTTGGGAAACTTTTCTTTCATCATTTAATGAAAAGAAAAGCTTAGAGGCTAAGAAGTAAGAAAACCTATAGTTCGATGAAATAGATTTATTTAGATATTAATTAGTTTTTGCTGTCTCAGGTTCACAAGATGAGAATAAGTCTTACAGTGGACTTAATTAGTCTTTTTAAAAAAGCTTTAAAAAGTTTGTATTATCAAAAATAAATATATTTTTTGAAGTTTTGGATTGGAAGTCCGGATACTTTTAGTTCTAAATTTTGTTTGTTTACCAGTAAGAATATCTGGCGTTGCCAGTGCCCATCAGTGTTTAATTTTCACAGTTGCCAGCGCCCATCGGTTTTTCGTTTTCCTCAACCTCAATTTTTTTACTCGCCAGAACAACTTCCTCTATCTGAACCATTTAATTTTACTGTAGGCACGTTTCAGCTCTATATATGTTTCTGTTTGGCTGTCTGAATACGTAACATCCGTTACACAACTACATACGGGGTAGGCGATTATACAAATACAATGAAGACGACTTTCTATTGTAATTTTGATTTATACCAAGCTTTCAAACAGCATGGATACACAAAAACATGGAAACAAAGAGAAGCTGTCAATTGAAAAAGCTCCTCTTTAATTATTTGTAAACTTGTATTTAAAAAAAGCTTGTTAGCAATTAAAACAATTTTTTTAAATCGTCTTCATTATATTGATACTATTGCCTACCACCATATACATACGTTTTCATGTAATCATCGGTTAATTTAGGTTGTACGAAATGAGTGAAAACTCCTGTTGTATTTTTGTATTGTTAATATCCTAGATCCTAGATAATAGATATGAAACATGGAAAATATATTTATTTTTCAGATTCTTATCAATTGACCATTTATAAAGTTAATGTCTTCTCTAAGCGATTAATAGAAAAGAAAAGAAAAGGAACTTTTAGTTCTTAGTTTGCTCAAACCTTGCTAGAAATCATCAAATCTAAACTAGCAAAAAACCTGTCACTTTAGCTAAACTAGTTTTTTTATTCTTCATCAAATTTATTGGCTACAGCTCTAATCCTTAAAGGGAGTGACCGCGCCAATGAATGGCAATTGAACTGAGTTTGAGCACAAAGTCGACGTTCAAAGTCATCCATTTGGGTTGCTACGTTTTGAGAATCAATTTTTTTTAAATTATTAAATAACTACGACGAAAAATGTATCAAAATTTGACAGTAAACATAAGGGTAAATGGTTTGTAACATGTTTTAATGAATTGGTTTAAACAAAACAATTTTGCATAATATGCAATTACTAAGTGGAAAAATTAGTATTTTAAACCTGAATAGTAGCAAGTATGTATTTTACAAAAATAAAACATACTTATTAGAATAATTATATCGTTTATTATTCATTAAATTCTAAATATAAATTTGCCAATAAATCAATGTTAGAATCAATTATTTCTTTTTTAACATTATATTGAATTTCTTGTTCTTTACGAATTTGTTAGCAGATTCTTCAAATGTTGTCTTTTTAATAAAAATTCCAGAAAATCTACAGAAAATGTTTGTGAACAATGAAACATCACAGAAACTAATAACTAAATATGATTACTTATTTTCGATAATAAGAGTTAATTTTAATTTTCTCAACCTGTTCCTCAACAACTAAATAGTTTAATAAAGAATTTTTTTAACATTTTCGTCGTTGTTATTTAATAATTTTGAAAAAATCGATTCTCAAAACCACCGAAATGGATGATTTTGAAAGTCGACTTAGCGCTCAAACTAAGTAAGTATATATCATTAAAACGTTTTATATGTCCCAAATGAATCCTAAAAAATTTTTCCACAATACTACAACTTCCAACTTCCATAAATTGCCGGTCACTCCCTTTAAGCTGCATTTTTTATTCATTGATCATATTTTTATTAAATAATTGTCTTTTTTTGTTTATTGTATACTAAATTATGAATAATAAACGCTACAATTATTCTAATAAGTATGTTTTATTTTTGTAAAATACATACTTGCCACTATTCAGGTTTAAAATACTAATTTTTCCACTAAGTAATTGCATATTATGCAAAATTGTTTTGTTTAAACCATTTCATTAAAACATGTTACAAACCATTTACTCTTTTAGAGCTATATTCAAACCTAAAAACCTTTAATATTCTAGATATTTATAACTGATAACTTATAGTTAGATATGTTAAACCTTAAAACTAAACCTGTTATATTCAGGTATTCCTAAACACATCATGTTTAGGCATGTTTAAACCTAAACCTTTTATATTTAGATATTCCTAAACCTATAAACCTATTATATTTAGGCATTCCTAAAACTAAACCCTATTATATTTAGGTATTCCTAAACCTAAACCTATAATATTTAAGTATTTCTTAACCTAAACCTTTCATATTTAGGTATTTCTAAACCTATCCCTATTATATTTAGGTATTCCTAAACCTAAACCTTTTATATTTAGGTTTTCCTAAACCTAAACTTATTATATTTAGGTATTCCTAAACCTAAACCTTCTATATTTGGGTATATCTAAACCTATTATATTTTGGTATTCCTAAACCTAAACCTATTATATTTAGGTATACCTAAACCTAAACCTATAAGTCGGATAACTGATAGTAACCGGAACAGTATGATCTCTACAGATAGTTTCACGGACGACGATCTTGTTGAAGTGGACATTCAGAATATGCAGGTTAAATAAACTTGATTTAATTTATTCAAACATTCTCTGAAATGGAAGTGATATTTCATCGTTAAATGCATTCTCCGGCAATATTCCTAGATTCCTAGATTCCTGGATTCATGGAATAATTCTAGATTTCCGCTTCTTCGATCCATCCCCCTTTCATTTACAGATTTTACTCTATTTTAAACTGAAAGGAACTATCTGTCATTTACAGTGATCCTGCAATTTAAGATGCATGCCCGATTCCCAATTAAAGAATTTGAGCTAGTGTGTATCCGAACCTCCCAGAGGAAGGGTGTCAGCAGAGCTTTCTAAGCCTGTTAAGAGAAAGGGCGCTATGTGCGTTGTACTTGTATAGAAGTCTAGATAGCAAGGACAATTCTCTTCTCTTCTCTCTCCACAACTGAGTAGAAAGCGTGACTAATCCCGAACAAGATAAAGTAATAAAGATGAATACAGAAGCAATACAGAAACTCAAAACATTAGGGATGAAGTACATGCTGATACAGGTTTTAAGGGGGAACAGAGCCTTCAATAGACTTTAAATCAAATACCATAAACTGGTTTTTCACCCTCCTCACAATGGAAACTGGATTACTCATGGCAGACCTCTGACAATGATAGGCAAAAGACACACTCCCCGTGTTTTAAAGCGATGGGACAGCATGCTTAGCGGGTTATTTTTTCTTTAAAAATCTGTCCACGTGGGAATACACGTTAAAAGTGAGGACTATGGTATTTCTGATACCTGTTACCCTTACACCCCCATCCTCATCCGCCTACCTCCTAAATTCCAACCTTATTCTACTTCACGAGCAGATATTGTGGAACTCAGAAACTGCTTTGCTGTGGAATCTTAATCAAAACTTTCTGAGAGAGATCATCATTGGTTTCATTGGGTGTTCCTTTCCTAGGGGGTACACCTAAATCACCTTGAACCTAGCCGAATGCAGTTAAGGCTAGGAGGTCTTTTAATTTCTTTCTAAATTACTGCAAGACACTGATACATGTAATGCAGCTGACAAAGGGAAGTTCTCATTACAACAATGTCAGCAATAAACCTGCATAGATGGCCGATATCAAAAACAACTGAAATAAATACAGAAACTCAAGAGCTGATATTAAAATACTACAAATTGCCTGATCAGCATCTCAAAACTGCATATTAACCCTCCTGGGGGGGCGGGGGTATGCAGCTAATTGAACGAGCATTACATGACAGCCAGGAAACAAGAAGATTGGAAACATGATTATCTGCATTCTGCATTAAATACATGTATCAAATAATTTGTTTCATAAAAAAAAATTAAAAAATAAATAAATTGATAAAGTTAAAAAGAATTTGAGCCACGGCTTAAATTTAAGCCACGGCTCAAATATGGTTGGTTACACTTAAAATCGTATTCATTGTTTCAGGATTTAAGCCGGCACCAAATTGAATCCGGTTTTTGGTGGATTTAAGACGTGGCTTAGATTCATTAAATTCGGACACTGTTCTCTTAAACCATCTTATAAGCTTGAATGTTGAAGATATTTTCTAAGTATTGATAATTCCGATTTGCGATTTCTCTCTAAAGCTAAAATAGATAGTTTTTTAGATAAAAGTACATTCGTTGGAAGATGATGAAGAGTTTAAGAAAGCCGTGGATTCATTCGACGAAATCTTCCAAAGTGAGAGTAGGACGGATATACAGAGAGCGTCAAGAAAATCCGGGAAAAGAAATCCTAAAAAATTCGGGAAAGATCCGCAACCGCCAGCTAGTGAAGAAAATGATGAAGAGGAAGTGATGAATATGGAAACTGGTGAGTTAAAAAATATGCAAGCTTCTTCAATCCGTTCTCTTTATATTTGTTTAATTTAAATTCGATATTAAACATTCCGATCGTCGATGGCGAAATTTCAATATTCGCGAGCAATCACTTTAAACAATTTTTTGTTAGTATTTGAAAAATTCTTCGATATCTGTTGTTTTGTTTGTTTTACAAGATCTCAGATATTAGATTGTTCAAATCTGCCAACTTCATGGTTTTTACTTCATCAAATTGTTTGTTTTTACGACAATTTGGCTTGAAATTATAGGGATTCAGAAACATCGAAAAACACGAATTTTATAAACTAAAAAATGGTACCAAAAAATAGAAAATGAAGAAAAGAATAAGAAATTTCTACATGTCATGCTTTTTTATTGTTTAAATCTTGTCTTTCCTGTGACAGATTTCCTTCATATGAATCCTTTACATTTTATTAAAACAAAATTACAGTATTGGAACATGATAAAACTTATTTCACACTTTGAACATAATAAAATTCATTCCATACTTTGAACATAATAATTTATTCCACACTTTGAGCAAAATAAAATCTATTCAACACTTTGAACATGATAAAACTTATTTCACACTTTGAACATAATAAAATTCATTCCATACTTTGAACATAATAATTTATTTCACACTTTGAACAAAATAAAACTCATTTCACACTCTAAACATGATAAAACTTATTTCACACTTTGAACATAATAAAATTCATACCACACTTTAAACATGATAAAATTCATTCTACATTTTTAACGTAATAAAATTCACTCCACACTTTGAAAATGATAAAATTCATTCCATACTTTGAACATGATAAAATTCATACTACATTTTAAAAAAAATTCATTCCACACTTTGAACATAATAATTTATTTCACACTTTGAACATAATAAAATTCATACTACATTTTTAACATAATAAAATTCACTCCACACTTTGAACATGATAAAATTCACTCCACACTTTGAACATGATAAAATTCACTCCACACTTTGAAAATGATAAAATTCACTCCACACTTTGAAAATGATAAAATTCATTCAATACTTTGAACATGATAAAATTCATACTACATTTAAAAAAAAATTCATTCCACACTTTGAACATAGTAATTTATTTCACACTTTTAACATAATAAAATTCACTCCACACTTTGAACATGATAAAATTCATTCCATACTTTGAACAAAATATTACGAAGTAGAAAGTTCTTATGATTTCTTCCATCTACAAACATAAAGTATATAGTAGTCTCTGTTTGGGTGCCTTTCTGTTTGTTTGTGTTTACGATTATAACTTATAACCCAATCTTGACCGATTTGCCTCAAATCTTGATTTGGGAAAGCTGGGTTCCCTACCTGGTACCAAATCTTTGATTAGATATACAAAAGTTTACATGGATAATATCGTAAATACTTTATGTAATCATTATTAAAATTAAAAGTTTTACATGTCATCTCTAAAAAGTAAATTTTATAATGAATTTTATCGTATTTAGATTCATTAACACTCACTAGCATGTTTATCATTCTATGCTACAAAGACTAACATGTTTTGCATTAAAAATCACGATCAAAGAGATTTTTTAAAATTTTGATTGCAGATTTTGTATTTGAAGTTCAAAGTTCAGCCTTTCCTAAAAAATTTTCATTTTTTTCAATTTTTGACATTTGATTTGATGCATATCAGATAATGTAAACTTGAGCATAGCTCCGAATATTTTAGAGAAAATGAGATAAAGAAAATAATCTTCTTCACTTTCACTTGTCAACAATTAAATAAAACTTATATGTTCAAAAGTGCTATCCGACCAAAAATAGTGACAACATGGGCAATTAAAAAAAAAGTTTTGTATTTTCAAGACATTTACAAATACTATAATCAATACAGACAATGTTTAGACAGTGTACCCTTGGAACCTGGAGTAATCAAGAATGTTGATGGACAAAATAAACAGAGAAAAGGATCAGCTCGCTTCTCCAGGAAACAGAATAGTAGAAGCAACAGGAGCAGTGTTGGTAGCATGGAGGAGGATACAGGTATACAGGAGCAGTTTTGATAGCATGGAGGAGGATACAGGTATATACAGGAGCAGTATTGGTAGCATGGAGGAGGAAATAGGTATACAGGAGCAGTGTTGGTAGCATGGAGGAGGATTCAGGTATACAGGAGCTGTATTGGTAGCATGGAGGAGGATACAGGTATATACAGGAGCAGTATTGGTAGCATGGAGGAGGATACAGGTATACAGGAGCAGTGTTGGTTGCATGGAGGAGGATACAGGTATACAGAGGAGAAAAGTCCTGCATAGCCCATTAACAACACAAACCCTCCTTTTCTGCACGTCTTAAAGAGACTGTTGTTTTTGATTGACCCTTCATTTCTACAGTTACAACTTACATGTACCCATTAAAAGAACGAGTGAGATATCCTTCTTTTTTATCTAAAAATTAAGTGTCTTCGGAATCCAGTGTACATTGCACACTAGAGAAAAAATGATATTTCTGTGGTTGATTATCAGACAAAGGTTTAAATAATGCAGTTGTTAATCCGACCAATCACCAAAAATGGTCACCTAAAATTAGGCCTACAGTCCCTTTAATTAGAACTAAAGGATAATACATAATGTATATATCTACATATTTGATTAAAGTTTAAACTATTGAACAGATTTGACGGGAGATTAGAAACTTTTAGAACTGTAGAACTGTAGAACTGTAGAACTGTAAAATTGTAGAACTGTAGATCTGTAGATCTGTAGATCTGTAGAACTGTAGAACTGTAGAACTGTAGAACTGTAAAATTGTAGAACTGTAGATCTGTAGATCTGTAGAACTGTAGAACTGTAGAACTGTAGAACTTTAGAACTGTAGAACGATGTTATCGAGATCGCAATGAACATTTTCCAACAAAAAATCTCTAGAATTCTTTAAACTCAAAATAAGGTATATAAAGCTATGTAGATAGTATATCAATTCATTAAAGTTTGTAATATCAAAGACCTTCGTCATCAGGTTGCAAAGTTATAGGTATTGGAAAATTTTTGTTTTGGCAAAAGCTCAATTCAATTGGTTTAATTGCAGTAAAGAAATTTTGTCTCTAATTTTTGCAACCATATGGTGTGAAATTTTGATATTTCAAACTTAGATTTATTAAGGGATTAGAAAATTAAAGTTTGTGACATTGATATTCCTTTATAAAGGGATAAAAACATGTCAGCTTTATTCTACTAGACTCAAAGTCCCTTTAACAAGAAGTTAGAGCAGGGTTTGTTAATATATTCATGAATATGAAGGGAACAAATTCTTCCAATATTGTTCTTTCTTTAGAAGTTTAGTTCAACTCCACTATATCTTATACTAGAGTTAATTCTAGTTGAACTCCACTGTATCTTATACATATATCCAGAGTTATATCTAGTTGAACTCCACTGTATCTTATACATATATCCAGAGTTATATCTAGTTGAACTCCACAGTTTCTTAAACTTGAGTTAGGCTGGTTCTGGGTTCTCTACCAAGATTTATGATGCAATCTTTTAAATGTCATAAATATATATTCACGTGTTGGAATGACACCGATAAATTCCAAAAACTTGAAATGATATCGAAACCTAAATGTATAAGAAAACAATCAGAATAAGTAAACAGTCAGTCGACAGCCCATAAATATTTAGGAAAGTAAGCTTTTAACATAAATTAGGCTTTTCTCTTGATTATTTTAGCTACTAACTGTTGCTCTACAAGCCGACATTTATAATCGTTTTCAAATGAATTTAGTCTTTGCCACAAACTCAAATCTTGTAATCCCTTTATCTTTTAAACCTGATGGTGTAAACCTACGACCATGGATTGCCGAGATAAAGAGGTCAGTGTTTATAGCAAAGACTCGATTCCTTAGCGCATATGTTTCCATTCAAATTGGTGCCTTAAAAAAAATGATAAATGTGAACATTTTTTCGGAGCAACATTTTTCAACGACCAGCCATAAACCTTCATATGAGTTGCACTAAAAAATATGGGCCCGATTGGTTCAGCCGTTTTGATGTTTATTTAATACAAACAAACAGACAAACAATTTATGTGTACACCTTGGGCCCCTGCTTAATGTGTTAATTATTTAATCACTTTATTTCCGGAGCAACCAAAAATTAACAATTAATTCATTACATAAATAGTTAATGCAGCGATTCGTTCCGAAATATTTACATATATCTAAATATAAATTTGGCTTGTCTGTTTGTTTGTATCCAATAAACGTCAAAACGGCTGAAACGATCGGGCCCATATTTTTTGTGGGACCTCACGTGACCCCAGGGAAGGTTTATGAATGATCAAAATTTCAAATATTTGTCTCAATCAAAATTCGATCGTCATTAAATTTTTTAAAATTTTGAAAATCCACGAAATTTTTTGTGAAAATCCGCGAATTATTTTTGTTTTGTTTTACCATGTACACAAAGAGAACATGTTCACAATTAATTTAGAAGATGGGCGCGAAGCGCCCTCTAAGGCTAGTATATATAAATTTGGCTTGTCTGTCTGTTTGTCTGTTTGTTTGTATCCAATAAACGTCAAAACGGCTGAACCGATCGGGACCAAATTTTTTGTGGGACATCTAGGGACTCTAGGGAAGGTTTATGAATGATCAAAATTTTTAATATTTGTCTCCATCAAAATTTGATCTTCATTAAATTTTTGAAAATTTTGAAAATCCACGAAATTTTTTGTGAAAATCCGCGAATTATATTTGTTTTGTTTTACGATGTACACAAAGAGAACATGTTCACAATTAATTTAGAAGATGGGCGCGAAGCGCCCTCTAAGGCTAGTATATATATAAATTTGGCTTGTCTGTCTGTTTGTTTGTTTGTCTGTCTGTTTGTATCCAATAAACGTCAAAACGGCTGAACCGATCGGGCCCAAATTTTTTGTGGGACATCTAGGGACCCCAGGGAAGGTTTATGAATGATCAAAATTTCAAATATTTGTCTCCATCAAAATTCGATCTTCATTAAATTTTTGAAAATTTTGAAAATCCACGAAATTTTTTGTGATAATCCGCGAATTATTTTTGTTTTGTTTTACGATGTACACACAGAGAACGTGTTCACAATTAATTTAGAAGATGGGCGCGAAGCGCCCTCTAAGGCTAGTATATATAAATTTGGCTTGTCTGTCTGTTTGTTTGTTTGTATCCAATAAATGTCAAAACGACTGAACCGATCGGGCCAAAATTTTTTGTGGGACATCACGTGACCACAGGGAAGGTTTACGAATGATAAAAATTTTAAAAAAATGTGTTTTGAAGGTTTTTAATTTTGTAAAAAAAATCTAAATTCTTGAAAATCCGCGAAATTTGTTCTTCTTTGTTTTCAAATGTAAACAAAAAGAACATGTTCACAATTTAAATAGAAGATGGGCGCGAAGCGCCCTGAAAGCCTAGTTTGTATAAAATAGGAAATAAATCTAAAAAAGAAATGATTGAACAAATGAAAAAGTTAGTGTTGGATTTTGTAGGACCCTTGCTGGGTTTGATAGGAATCCAATATTATCCTTCCTCTTCAGTTTCAAGTTTGCAGAAAATACTTTATTTTTTGTTCAAGTCAGTTTATCAAACTTTATACACTAGAGATAAAAGGAAATATACTTATATAGAGATAATCAACACTCACACATAAATACAGGGTAGAGTGTACTTTTCAAATACAGGGTAGGGTGTACTTTTCAAATGCAGGGTAGGGTGTACTTTTCAAACAGACTTAAAAACCATGATTTGATATAGGAAAATTTTGTTAAGTTAAGTTAATAAAAGCGTTGATAATAAATAAAAATAATAATAAATATAAATAATAAATATATAAAATATAAATAAATAAAATATGAATAATAAAATAAATGAATGAAAACTCAAATTTTCAAATCCATCGTTGCAACACGATGGCGTAAACCTTTTATATTTCAAACTTAGATTATTTGATCTAACAGAATTCATAGTTTGAAATATCTTAGGTCTATAGACATAGGATTGCATAGATATTGGGATTAGAAAATCTCAGTTTGTGGGAAAGACTTAATTCCTTTGAATAGTTTTAAATCAACCCCGTTCCTTTAAAAGTTTTCAGATCTTGGGAGAAAAAGTTGGTTTAATCTGAATTCAGTTTGATGTTAGTTTAGTAGTTGGTAATTTCATACTTTTAATACAAAATATCACTGCGATTTGGAATTTTAACGGATTTACAAAAAATGTAGCCTCAACATTTTTTTTTTGATAAATCAGTTATAGAAAATACAAATCAAAAATCCTCGTGACATTTCTAAAAGAAGAGAACGAAAACAATGATTCCATTTTGTCTGACAAAAAAATCTCAAGAACTGGAGAGACCGAAAAACATTTTCTAAAAATGTGGAACAAACACCTACTTTATTTACTCTATGAAGTTTAAAACAGCAAATTTTAAATGAGTCCATTGTATTCCGGTAACCACTGTATTAATCTGTTTTCATGATTCTAGAGAGGCTGAGTCCTGACCTGACCTCGAGGCTGGTTGAGACAAAGGTTCAGATGCAGAGGTTGGATCAAACATTTTCAACTCTATGCAACGAGGTTACAAGGTAAAGGAATATAGTTCTGTTGGATCAACTAGTCCAGGTTGAATATATAACAAGATTAAACCATCAGGTTGCAAAATGGTTTAGAAAAACTGAGTTTGTGACAAAAACTTTTCGAAACTTGTTATTCATGCTAAGTTGAATTTCAAATAGATACATATTTGCAGGGATAGTTCTACCACGAGGAGTATCTCTGGAACACAAGTTGAATCCCGGGGACATTCCCTTTCTAGGACCAGGGTTCGGATCTCTGACGATCCCTTGGATCAGATTATTGGATCCATGATACAAACTCCCTCTACCAATCCACAAACTCAGGATCAGGTCATTTTGTAATTTAATTCTTGGTTCACGATTCTGAGTACCCTGTTCAATCAACGATTTACAACAGTATCCTTGAACACCTTTCAAAGCAACATATCTATTAAAGAATTGTTAATCTTGATAACTATGATACGGCTACTGTGAATTTCTATAGCAAAGGTGATATAGAAAATGCAGCTAAGGCTTGAATCAGTAAAGAAAATTATTTTTTATTTTTATTACTGGGTTACCCACAAAGGAGGAGACTTAAGATACGATTGTACTGAATTTACTCAGTCTTTTTTTCTTAGTTTCATGATTTCCTGCAACTGTAAACTTGGTTTTTTTACAAAGCAATTAATATGTTATTAAAAGACTGTATCCATGACAGTAACCTATGTACATTGAACCTCTAGGGCGCTCTATTTTTGTGGATAACCCTGTATATTAAAGTTTTAATTGTTGCAAAGAACTCTTTAATTTTGGGGACCAATTAAGCTTACGTTGACAATTTCCCGTGAAAAAAATGAAATAACTGATACCACAAAAAACGTCCGGAATCTTTTTTAGCGCCTCATACTTCTTATTTCTTGTTTTCACTCTCTCTCTTTTCACATAGTAGGCAGTACATATTTCGATAGTGTACATATCTAAAGAGTGTACACATTTAGATTGTGTACACATTTAGATAGTGTACATATTTAGATATTGTACATATTTAGATAGTGTACATATTTAGATAGTGTTACATATTTAGATAGTGTACATATTTAGATAGTGTACATATTTAGATAGTGTACATATTTCGCTAGTGTACATATTTAGATAGTGGAAATATATAGCTTGTGTACATATTTAGATAGTGTACATATTTAGATAGTGTACATATTTAGATAGTGTTACATATTTAGATATTGTACATATTTAGATAGTGTACATATTTAAATAGTGTACATATTTATATTGTGTACATATTTAGATAGTGTACATATTTAGATAGTGTACATATTTATATAGTGTACATATTTAGATAGTTTACATATTTATATAGTGTACATATTTAGATAGTGTACATAGCCAGGGTAAATATTTAGATAGTGTACATATTTAGATAGTGTACATACATAGCTAGTGTACATATTTAGATAGCGTACATATTTCGCTAGTGTACATATTTAGATAGTGGAAATATATAGCTTGTGTACATTTTTAGATAGTGTACATATTTAGATAGTGTACATATTTGGATAGTGTACATATTTAGATAGTGTACATATTTAGATAGTGTACATATTTAGATAGTGTACATATTTAGATAGTGTACATATTTAGATAGTGTACATATTTAGGCTGGTTCACCAGTTATGTACAGAGCCGAAGTTGTCTGTAGTAATAAAAAGGTTTGAAACATTTCAAAGCATGGTTTACACCAATGTAGTTACATCAAAATACGCAAAATCTCTATTGTGTACTGTACTGACTGGGAGGCCGAAGAATTTACACAAACTTAGTGCTCCCACGGCTTGAGTTTTCAGAAAAATGTAAAAATCCTTGCGCCTAAATTCTGCTTAATTCATTTTCACGCGGAATTCCGTGCGAAAATTGGCTTCCGTTTGAAACCCTACGGCCACGACTTCCACAACTTGTAGAGGGACCTTTAAATAAGCGAACTAGTTAATTAGAACATTTAAATATCATTAATCTTCGTTCTCTTTACTAGAAGAAATAGTTACTCTTTCATAATCATAATGCATATTTTCCTGCCCCCCAACCCTTACATTAGATCTCCTCCCCCTGCAGTTGCAGTACACAATTCGGAGATGCTAGGTATACTTCCTTCAAGGGCGTATACAGAAATAAACCTAGGGGGTGAATTTGCACGAATGCCCCCCTAGGAGCTCCTGGGGGGGGACACTACCCCCTTGTCCCCCCAGTATACGCCCTTGCTTTCCTTGGTTTACACACAGACACTTGGTTTACATTGATAGGTAATTTCCGAAGGGAAACTTCCCAATTAACCTAACTTACTGATTCCCAACTGTCATATTCTCACATTTACTTTTTGGGAGATTGTTAAATTAGGTTAGAAATAGTTGTATAGGAGTTCTTAAAGTGTTAAATTCTGGTTAGTTCGTTTCAGGGTATGGGAAGCTATAAGGATCCATGGGCAGTGGCTAGAATTCGCTAGACATCCGCGCGTTGCAAATATGCTTGGGATTCCTGCACTGTGACTAGGATATGCTTGGGATATCTGCACTGCGGCTAGGATATGCTCGGGATTCCTGCACTGCGGCTAGGATATGCTAGAAGTACACGCGCTGTGGCTAGATATAAGCTATTGTTTCGTACTCTACGGCTAGGATCTGTTAGAAAAGTCAGCGCTGCGGCTAGAAATTATCTAGGGTTTCTTACTCTGCGGCTAGGAAATGCCGAGGATCCCTGCCATGCAGCAGGGATATATAAAGAATTCGACTGCAAAAAGAAATTGAGTCTTTGCCACAAACTCTGCTTTTCTAAACCGTATATCTTTGATTTCCAATGTCATAGACCTTAGATATTTCAAACTATGAATTCTGTTAGATCAAATGACATAAGTTTGAAATATCAAAGATTTACTACACTGGGTTCCAAAGATATAGGGATTATAAATTCAGAATTTGTGGCAAAGACTCAATTCCTTTGTTGGTTTTGATATATTTAGGAAAATGTATGTTTCGGAAAATTCCTTTTGGGAATATTCCATTTATTTAAGATACAATAATATTTATAATAGCAGACAGTAATGCATTTGTTTGTTTAACACAAACAAGAAAAGTTTAGAAAAACTAACCAATCCTTTTATACATCTTACCAAATCCATCCTTCTCTCGTAGGTTTTAACATTTTATTTAGAACCTATTTTGCCTCCAGGGACACTGAAGTTTAATGTGTAGAGTGCTGTGCACTATTGCCAGACACTAATATTAGAAAATGATTGATAGATGCCTTTTACTTTTTGATAAACATAGAGAATAGTTTACTTTTGAGTCCTATTTACAAACGCATTTTAAAGTTCAATATCAAAATTGTCACTATGTACTTAATTAACAAAGCACAATTTTAGTTGTGTCTTATTTACAAAGCAAAATTTTAGTTGTTTCCTATTTACAAAACACAGTTTACAACTTTAAGGTTTTATCCACAAACACAGTTTACAGTTTAGTCCTAATCCTAAACACAGTTTACAGTTTAATCCTATTCACGAAACACAGTTTACAACTTTAAGTCTTATCCACAAACAGAGTTTACAGTTTAGTCCTATTCCTAAACACAGTTTACAGTTTAATCCTATTCACGAAACACAGTGTACAGTTTAGTCATATTCACGAACACATTGTACAGTTTAGTCCTATGTACGAAACACAGTGTCCAGTTTAGTCCTATTCACAAACACATTTTACAGTTGGGTCGAATTCACAAACCCAGTTTATAGTTCAAAATAAAAAATTTTCTTATTTACAAAACACAATTTTATTGTGTCCTATTCAACTTTAAGTCACAAAACACAGTTTAAAGGTAGGTTGAGATCTATTGCCAAAAAACAATTCACATTTAAGCCCTATTAAAAAACAAGTTTACAGTTAAGTCCTTTTCACAAAACACAGTTTTAGTCAAATATATATTTTTAGAAAATAATGTTCAATGTTGAATGTTAAGTTCTATTCACAGAACACAGTTTTAGTCATATGTATATTTTGGAAAATAATGTTCAATGTTGAATGTTAAGTTCTATTCACAAAACAAGACTTTTTTTTAAATGATTCCGAATTTAATCTTATTATCGTTAATATTTTTCGATATGTTTACATAAAAATTGAAACTGTAAATATTTATAATCGACATTAATCAGCCCACACTTTGTAATTGTTCCAGGAAATATTGTATTGATTAGAATGTTCGAAGAAACATTGTTTTGCTTTGAAGTCTTTAAACTAAACAAGAATAGCACGGGTTAAAATAGAAAAGTAGTGACAAAATAATAGCCTTGGCTTTCATCCAATGAAATAATTATCCTTTCTGGGTTTTATTTCGAGGACTTTTCTTTTAAAGATAAACGAACTTATCATCATTGTTAGAAAAAGCGTTTATTCTTCTTGGCAAACGTAATTCTTTAGATAATAAGTTAAAAAGCCAACTCGGTTACTTTAACTTAGGCCTGACATTTGATATTTACTTTTATCTCAATAAAAGACTTTTACATAGATTTCCTTTGTCGAAAACCAAATTCCAGCCGAAAATAGAGACAGTAAAAGTAAAAAAAAAACTAACTTAAACGAAACATGCAGTAAAGAATATCACAAATTGAATATTTACAACTAACTTGGGAACCCAGCTTTATGTCTCAGAGATCCCTATACTTATATATATTATAGATATTAAATATACAATGTACATTATACAAAGTTTATTTTTATTTCAATGTGTGGTGTGCAACAAACCATAGACACAGGACTATATATATATATGTAGGAAACCATGGACTAACCATAGACTAACCATGGACTAACCATGAACTAACCATGGACTAACCAAGGAGCAAGATTCGGTTTATTATATTTGGATTCAATTACGCTTTGGTCTATATAATTCAAACTTACAGAGTTGAATTTTTCATTTTAAACGGATCAAAAGGAGGAGAAAGGATCAAACTTTAAATGAGTGTGAAAAATCTCTCAAAAAACTTGTTTGAACCATCAACGATTAACATCAGAGGTCGGATTAAATGAATTGTGGAATCGGTTTAACATCAAGTTGAGCTACTTTCCTTTTAGACTCAAGGTCACTTGAATTCCGAATTCATTAATTCCGACTTGTGAAAGTTTAGATCCTGTATTAAAGTATCATCTTATCGAGATAACTGTGTGTTGTTTTTCAGCATGTTTGGTCGAGCCGTTTAAAAATGCCGAAGTAGAAAATGTCCGAAATGTCATTTATATATTCTCGAAGAACATTTAGCTTATCTAAACTAAAGTATAAATGATTTAATATTCTAGGTTCGAGTTGATGAAGTTTGAGGTTTCTCTTCTACTTAGCTTCTATTTAGAAAACGTAGCAGGAAGATTGTTTAATAATTCTTGCCGAGTTGTGGAGAAAGATCAAGTTTGTTTGAGTGACATATGATGTTTGTAAGGACAGAATACTAAACTATTCATATAACAACTAGACATCACATCGCCAACTAAGCAAACAACACTATATTCTATATACTTATATATCTTATCTAAGCCAAGATATTTTTTGGATGAGTGCTGATTTCTAGCTCCGATATTTTCAGTCCTGGTCCATTCAAATACTCCAACCTATTCAAGTTTACTCAAATCCTCTCTCATATACTCGGATTATATTCTTACATCCTATTCTATATACTCAGCTCTGACCCTCAATCCTATTTTATATACTCAGCTCTGACCCTCAATCCTATTCTACTGAACACAAATACTTAAACCTTTTCTTCCCAATACAAATCCTCAAACCTATTCTACTGAACACAAATCTACTGAACACAAATCCTCAAACCTATTCTACTGAACACAAATCCTAAAACCTATTCTACTGAACACAAATACTTAAACCTTTTCTTCCCAATACAAATCCTCAAACCTATTCTACTGAACACAAATCCTCAAACCTATTCTACTGAACACAAATCCTCAAACCTATTCTACTGAACACAAATCCTAAAACCTATTCTATATTGAACACAAATCAAGAAACCTATTTTACGGAGCACACATTCTCCAACCTATTCTACCGAACACAAATCCTAAATACTTTACTATTAAGCACAAATCCTCAACCCTATTCTAAGGAACACAATTCCTCAAACCTATTCTTTTAAACACAAATCACAGTCCTATTCTACTGAGCATAAACTTTCAAACCCATTCAATTTCTCAAACATATTCTACTGAACACAATTCTTCAAATTTATTCTATTAAACTATTATTTTTAATATTTCCACGATAAAGTGTGATTATTTAAAGGAAATTGATGAAAATAATAAATTTTCAATGTTGTTGCAAATTCATTTATCATTAAACCCTTCATACGCATTAGATCCAATTTTCTTTTAATATTTTCTTGCTAAGGTATACAATATATAAAGTATACATAATCAATGAAGAATAATTATCATATTAAAACGCTTTGTTTATATCTAAAAATAAAATTTCAAAAATATTTAAAATGAATATACAAACTTTTTTGCTACATTTTGATTGTGAGTCTGTTCATGCATGATTGTCCGAAGGAATTAACAATATTTATAAAAGATAAATATATAAACAAAATACTTTAAGGAAAAATTGTTAAAAAATAAAAGATATCCCCGTTAATTTTTGGTTCAGTGGAAGTTCTATTAGATATTTGTGAAGTTCTGTGATTTTTTAGCGATTGCTTGGTATTAATTTGTGTTTTAAATTGTTAAATCTGTTAAACAGAATTTTGTGAAAGTTTTAAATTACAATAAATATATAAGTTTTATCTTATAACTTTATTATTGCCGTATTTTCTTATAAACTTTTAACTTTACAAATCAATTGTCATAGGTCTTTTTGCAACCTATTCATTGGTACCTTTTTTAGCCGATCCATTGGTACCTTTTTTAGCCGATCCATTTGTACCTTTCAGCTGATCTTCTGGTATATTTGCAACCTATTCATTGGTATCTTTTTTAGCCGATCCATTGGTACCTTTCAGCTGATCTTCTGGTATATTTGCAACCTATTCATTGGTATCTTTTTTAGCCGATCCATTGGTACCTTTCAGCTGATCTTCTGGTATATTTGCAACCTATTCATTGGTATCTTTTTTAGCCGATCCATTGGTACATTTCAGCTGATCTTCTGGTATCTTTTCAGTCTATTCATTGGTACCTTTTTTAGCCGATATATTGGTACATTTCAGCTGATCTTCTGGTATCTTTTCAGCCTATTCATTGGTATCTTTTTTAGCCGATATAGTGGTACCTTTAGCCGATCAATTGGTATTTTTTCAGCCTATTCATTGGTACCTTTTAAGACGATCTAGTGGTATCCTTTCAGCCGATCTTTTGGTACCTTTTCAGTCGATCCATTGGTACCTTTCAGCCTATTCATTTGTGCGTTTTTAGCCGATCCATTGGTACCTTTTTAGCCGATCCATTGATACCTTTTTAGCCGATCCTTTTATACTTTTTTAGCCGATTCTTTGATACCTTTTCAGCCGACTCATTGGTATCTTTTCAGCCGATCCATTGGTACCTTTTCAGCCGACTCATTGATATCTTTTCAGCCGATCCATTGGTACCTTTTTAGCCGTCTCATTGGTATCTTTTCAGCCGATCCATTGGTACCTTTTCAGCCGATCCATTGGTACCTTTTCAGCCGATCCATTGGTACCTTTTCAGCCGATCCATTGGTACCTTTTCAGCCGATCCATTGGAACCTTTTCAGCCGATCCATTGGTGCCTTTTTAGCCGATCATAGGTATTTTCTCATGATCTACATCTAAAGGTTGGAAGTTTTGTGTGATCGTTATACTTGAACACTTGATCTTGAAATCCAATTTGGGAACTTTTAAGTTTGAGTGTCAAGCATTAACCCTCAATCAACACTATTCCTGCAGAGTGAGACCACCTCGGGATAACGAAGATAAATTAAATTAATCCATATAAATTCATGAGATGGAGATCGATGCTTGATCCCAAGATTTAGAACACAAAAATTCTGACTTTTTTAGCTGCCAAAATGTCGTCTTTGTGCTCTGATTTTTTCAAAATTTAAACATGCTGTCTAAAACAACTTGTTACGCGAGCCATGCTGCGTGTATAAAGTCTGCTTATCGCCCCTGTGTATTTCTGAGTTCTCCCTGAAGATCTGTACGGAATGTATTGTGAAAGAACTAGTTTTAAGGCTCAGAGAAATAAACGTTCGGAACCTTACTATCATCCTTTTATTATGAAGAGCGTTGAGAGAAGGGAGTCTTACGATCCGGTCCTGAGAAATACCACACGGTATATATATTAGGTCTTTAGGGAAATCGCTAAGTAGCGAAACACAACTAAAATCAATTAATATAAACTGTCATTTAAATACAGCGATATCCAGAAAACAATAGAATAGAAAGACAAAATTATAGAAATACTTTAGAGTAGAAGATGTTGTTTAAAAACGATTATGTTTCTCGACACTTATTGAATTATTGATTTAATAAGCGTCGAGAAAAAATAGAATCACTAGTTTAGTGAAATATTTACAGACAAGAATTTATCAAATGTCGTCTTGACAATTTTTCAATGAGTTTTATACTATATTACTTAAATTTCAGTATTTGCGAAATTAAATAAATAGCCATGAATATGCGGGAACAGTTTTAAAGAGTTCCATATAATCATTGAATTAAAAAACTAAATATCTGCAACAATCCATTATCAGAAAGTAAAGAATACGACATTTGATGAATTCTTTCGATGTTTTCGTTATTAAGGGTTTCACTGTATATTATCAAATCAAAAAGATAAAAAAAATGCCGTGTTGCGTTTTCCCTGATAATTGCAGGATGAAACACAATATCTTCTCGTATGAATAATTATTCGAGTAATTTGTATTTTGACGGATAAAAGACGAAACATATTATATATCACAGATAAACAGTAAAACAATAAATATAATCATCATTAATTCTGTAAACTTTGAAGACGTCCACCTCTTCCAAACCAGGAACAGGAATCTGAAAAAGTTGTCATTAAATGTCGTCTTCAAACTTTAATATTTTTAATATGTTTTTAAAGATACAGGGTTATCCACAAAAGATGAGACTTCAGAGACGACTCTACGGAAATTATAATGTCTATCTCTTTATTAATGATTCCCTGCAACTGTAAACTTGTTTCTTTGCCAAATCATTAACTAAGCCTGGGACTTTATTAACGGTGCATTTTTCTAGCTTTTCTAGCTTTAGGTCGTCATCCTTTTGGGTAACCCTGTACATTACCTTGCTCTCAATTATTGTGAATATTGTTGATTTCTCTTCTGCTATTCATCCAACCTAGATAACAAATTTTAAATAATGTTATGTATTGAAATAAATATATACAACTTTAAAGATTATGTGGTATGAAAATAAATAAATTAGATATTTTACGAATCAATCAGAGTGGTAACTTTTACTTTACTGTACAGAAGGGTTGCAAGGGTGTATTCAAGGGGAAAGAGACTTCCCCCTTGGAAATATCATTTTCTTCTCTTTTGAATTCTGTATACGCCTATGCGAGGTATGTGACCCTTTGGGTAGAATCAATATTCGAGCATTTCAGTATAGAGCAAGGTTGTATAATAAGGTTAGATGCTCTGGATGCTGACAAGTGGAGAAAATCCTTCCCTCCTCTCACCAACAGCGTTGTACCTTCAGCTTCCGCCAATAAGTAGTTACGTCATTTGATGATTTTGAGTGTCCATTACTAAAATGACGACATTTTTTTAGTACAGGGTGTCCCAAAAAACATGGGAATTCAGTGACGAATTCGATATCGTCTTTTCAAATAATTCTTCGATTTTGTATAGTGATACCTACTGAGAAAGCTGTAATCTGTAAGAGTTTCGTCTGCTATGTTTACATTTTGTTTGTTTATGTTTTGACTGCAACCGGTTGTACTTAGTAGAACAAGAAAATTGCAGATACAAACAGAGTAAACTTGTCCGAATTCACTGTTCATCTTGGGAGACATTATAGACACATCTTTGTAGTCTTTTAGCCTTTTCATAAAATAAACTCTAGCAGACATAATAATATTATGGCTTTTGAAATTAGGTATTACAATGCTAATTCATAACAAAGACGATATCGAATTCGTCACTGAATTCCCATGTTTTTTGGGACACCCTGTACATCATGGAGCGCATTCAGAGTATCTATCCATTATTATACAACCTTGCTATAGAGGCAAGTTCCTGTTTAATTCCCTGTGTTTATTAAATATTACCAAAAGTATGGATAGTTTGTGGAAAGGTAATATTGGCCTTTTACTGTGGGACACATATTAATGTGGAAAAGGAAGACGACTATTATACTCAAGTAATGCTTTTCAACAGTCCAATGAACATGAAACACACCAATTGTGAAATGCTTAATAATATTTAGTCTAGAGAGTAACTGGTGTGGGTGTATACTGTATATGTGCGTATGGGAGGTCCTGAATGATTATAGTATCTCCTTATCTCGTTATGCCTTTAATTACATATCTCCTGTGTATCCACTTATAAACCTGTAATTAACCTAATGTTCTGTATTTATATATATATTGTCTGTTATCTAGAAATATAAACGATCTTAACCTCGACTATATAGGGCCAGGGTTATCTGGGGGCGCGGGGGGGGGGGGGAGTTATTAAACGGATCCTTCATGGGTTTGGAGAAAACTTTTAAGAAAAAAAGAAGATAGGGGAGGATGGAAGGAATCGAAAGGGTTTACGAATCAGAATAAAGTTAGGTTTAAAGAAGGAAAATATAAACAAACAAAAAAGTCACATTTACACAATAAACATATTAACTTAAACCAGATATATCGCTAAAAATTTAAACAAAGGAACTGAACGCTCTCCACAAATTCTAATTTTTTAGTCCTTGTATCTTTGTAAAATGATGTTGTAGAACTTTGAAATTTCAATCTAAGAGTTATGACAGTTACAATGATCTTTGCTTAAAATACCAAAGGTTTAAACTATCAGGTGGCAAAGAAATAGGGAATAAAAAAATCAAAGTTTGATGCGAGTGTTTAACTTCTATTGGACAAGTTTAAAAATAAAATTATCCATGCCATCGAAAGAAAATGAAGTAGAGGAGTAGTTATTAAGAAAGTGGAAAGAGATGCTCGGTAAGGGGGGGGAGGATGTTTTAGTCAGAAAGACAATTTTCAGGTTGAACCGTAGCAAAACTCATTGAAAAGATAATTATAGAAAACCTTCACCCACATTATTTTATATCTAGCAAACTTTATATTTATCATTCATTCATTCATCCTTCTCCTCATCCACCTACTCATCCTATTCTTCTCCTCCTAACCTTCCCATCTTATTCTTTAAATCCAAGTTTAACACCCTATTCCTTCATCTATGAATTAGTTCTTCTAGGTAGAATTCAATTATTCTTCTATTCTTTACAATCTTGGGAACCCAGCTTTGCCTTGAAACTAAACATAACCCACTTAAAATGAAATTTTAAACTAAGCTTAGAACATTTCAATGGTTCTGCACGAGTTTCCCTATCAAAATGTTATGTAAATTGGACAAGGAGATCCTTAGTTATGATTGGACATACAAAATAACTTTATATATATTTGCATGGTTAGCCCATCCTTTTATTCCTTTCCCTAGACCCTCTGTCCTTTCATTCTATGAAAATTTTAATTTTAATTTACGGAGATATTCAAATATCTAAAGAAGCTCAAATATCTAATTTATATATTCATTTTCAAATTAAATTACAAAATTACTTAAACCGATCAATTCAGAGAAAAACGTGAGTTTATGGTTTCCTAGACTTTGTAACATCTATCTATAAATTTGGCTTGTCTGTTTGTTTGTCTGTTTGTTTGTTTGTATCCAATAAACGTCAAAACGGCTGAACCGATCGGGCCCAAATTTTTTGTGGGACATCACGTGACCACAGGGAAGGTTTATGAATGGTCAAAATTTCAAATATTTGTCTCCATCAAAATTCGATCTTCATTAAATTTTTGAAAATTTTGAAAATCCATGAAATTTTTTGTGAAAATCCGCGATTTATTTTTGTTTTGTTTTACGATGTACACAAAGAGAACATGTTCACAATTAATTTAAAAGATGGGCGCGAAGCGCCCTCTAAGGCTAGTATTCAAAACTCGTTTAAACAAAGTGAGTTTTTCAGTTTTCTACGTGTTTGATTAAGCATATATTATTCCCTGACAAGCAATTCAAAAAATATCTTTAAATTTTGCAATATCAAACCAAAAAAAGTTATTTTTTTGTCTTGGCGGTGAAATTAAATCTTACTGTGCAAAGCCATAAAAGTAATTTTGTGACTGGGTGATTATTTGGTCTCGAAATTAACACATACTTACAAAATAATTTGAAATATTTCAAAAATTCTTGAAATTAGGCTTTCTGTATTTTTCTAAGATGAACGTACCTTTTCTGTATATTCCTTCTAGCAAGATGGATAAGAACCTCTCCTACTCTTATATTTCTGAACTCAGATATTGCTTGTTCATGAGATAATCCCTGAACACTTCGTCCGTTCACACTTAGCACCTCATCTCCTGGACATTTTTACATGAAAGTCAAAAATATTGCGAACAATTCTGGTTTATTTCACAGTGATTTAAAAAAGAAATATGCAAGTTCGAATAATATGTGCTCAACACTAAAAAGACTTAAAAATTGCAAAAAAGAAGTAATCACACCCCCCCCCCCCCTCCATCCCATCTTCTATACCTCTACCATGTAACAGTATCAACATTATTAAAGTCACATGTTTTCAAAAAAGAATAGCGGTTTGATATAAATGGATAATTGTGAATGTAACGGTCCTGCCCCCCCTCCCTTTACTTTATAACCCTGGGGCCCCATTGTCTCCGGTAATGATTATATAATACAGACTTATATGAAAACTACTGAGGAAGAAGGGAGGGAGTGGGATGTAAGTTTTCAAACTTTATAAAGGTGTGTTTTCAAATGTATCCCAAAGGAAGTGAGTTTTTGTCAAAAACTCAAAATTTCTAATCCCTATATCTTTCCAATGTGATGGTAGATAACTGTGATATTTTAAACTTAGATTATTTGGTCTAAAAGAATTCATAGTTTTAAATATCACTGGGTTGCAAAGATATGGTATTAAAAAATGTTGGTTTGTGGCAAAAACTCAGTTCCATTAATTTCATCTAATTAGTTTTTTATTTTAAAAGTCTGATATTTCCCGAAAATGGTCTACATATTTTTTATAAAAGCAGAGCTGAAAACTTTTAATGGTGGATATCGAGATTTCTGCTTGATCCACTCTTTTTTTAATCTCCAGATTAAATAATGCTTGTTCTCCTCTTGTTATTAATCTCCAGATAAATTAACTGATCAGGATTAAGGATATCCCATTCAAAAGTTCCTAGCTCAGGTCACATTTCCCAAATCACCAAACGCGGGAAAATGTATTGTTAAATCGAAATCCTTTTAAATATATGCAAACTTAAAAGATTTTTAAACAACGGAATTAAGAAGTTCTAACGATATTCAAATTTAAAGATTATGAAGCAATGATATTATTATGTTCTAATAAATAAAATTAAAAGATCTTGAAGAAATAATATTAAGAAGTTCTAATGATATCCTAATTTAAAGATTTTGAAGCAATAATACTAATATGTTCTAATAAATAAAGTTTAAAGATCTTGAAGCTATGATATTAAGAAGTTCTAAGGATAACCAAATTTAAAGATTTTGAAGCAATGATAGTAATATGTTCTAATAAGTTTGAAGATCTTTAAGCAATAATAACAGTAATATGTTCTAACATATAAAGTTTAAAGATCTTGAAGCATAAACATTAATATGTACTAATATATAAAGTTTAAAAATCTTGAAGCAATAATATTAATATGTTCAAATATATAAAGTTTAAAGATCTTACAGCAATAATATTAATATGTTCAAATATATAAAGTTTAAAGATCTTGAAGCAATAATATTAATATGTTCAAATATATAAAGTTTAAAGATCTTACAGCAATAATATTAATATGTTCAAATATATAAAGTTTAAAGATCTTGAAGCAATAGAATACTAACATGTTCTAATATATAAAGTTTAAAGATCTTGAAGCAATAATATTAATATGTTGTGGAAACAACTAATGAAGTATAGACAATAAACTATTGTTGAACCGAATGAGAGGGGGGTGGAAAGGATGAAAAAAGGGGAAGGGGAAATGGGAGGTGTTATAATAGTGCATGGGAATATAGTATGGTCAATGTGGGGGGGGGGCAAAGGGATAATATTGGAAGGAAGTTTTGAAATAATTCTGTTTGCAGATTGTATAGTACTTGGGAGAGGAAGTCAGGGGTGTTATTGTCTTTTAGTGAAAAATGATTTATCTATCTAGAATAATATTGAATATTTATCTATCGAGAATAATATTGAATCCATATTTCAGTCCCAACCTTCCAGTTTAGAAAATTTTTTGAATTATTTGTTTGCAATCAGAGACTATGAATTAATTTACGTCGGGTATATACTTTGATCTAGACCTGGATTCGGATCATAGTTAGGATCCTGATCTAAAGGTTAGGACCAGAGTCAGGAGCTAAATCTAGACCTGGATCAATTACATCTAAAACTAGACCTGGATCCAGATCATAATTAGGATCCTGGATCTAAAGGTTAGGACCAGAGGCAGGGGCTAATTCTAGACCTGGATCAATTACATCTAAAACTAGACCTTGATCCTGATCATAATTGGGATCCTGATCAAGATTAGGACCATAGTCAGAAGCTAAATCTAGACCTGGATCTGGATCTAGATCTATATATGAATCCAGGCCAATGGATATAAGTCTCAATATGAACCTGGATCTAGATACGGATGTGAATCTAGATCAAGATCTAGAAATAGATCGTGATCTAGATATGAATTTAGACCTGGATCCAGATCTAAATCAGATCTGGATCTTTATATGGATCTAAACGTTTATTTAAATCCAGATTTCGGATCTAAATCTAAATCTGAATCCAGATCTGAATTTGAATCTATTTCTAAATCTGAGTCTGAATCCAGATCTGAATCTGACTCTGAATCCAGGTCTAAACCTGACTCTGAATCCAGATCTGACTCTGAACCTGGATTATATTATACAAAGATGGGGGAAAATAAAATACATAATTGTAGTTCTGAATCTTCCTTGAGCACGGATTTGAAACTAAACAGATGAAATCAAGTCTGAGATATCTTATCAGATATAATTTAAACTTTCTCAAATATTGAAATCAATATGTGAATTGAAAATAAAAAATGTCTTATTCGCAATATTCTGAAAGGATCCACGTGCATTCAAGTGGTTTTCCATTTGAAGATTTTACACGTTTTTAATGTTAATTTAGACATTAGTAATATTTTTTTTAATCAATGGTTATATTAGTTTTAGTTGATTTACTATTTAATTACATTGATTTTTAACATCTTGGTAATAACACAATTTACTTACAGTGCTAACCAGAAAACTCTGAAATAGAAAGACGACTTTGAAACTCAAGGCATGATTTCAAATAGTCCAATGAGCATGCAGACACAGCAAATGTGCAGTGTAAACAGACCCTTTTCATTTGATTAGTGATTTAAAAAGTGTGTAGTAAAACTATTTAACAACATCAAATAGACTTTAGCATTGCTATAAAGTCGTCTTCCTATTCCAGAGTTTTCTGGCAATCACTGTATTAATTTAGAGTATGTTTGCCCCGTTTAGTGTTTGACTCGAATATGTTACTCAATATTATGAGGCAAGGTTGGTTGATTTAACCACGCACTCATGATAAATCATCCACAGGCACTAGCAGACATTCATATCCAATATAGATATATAGGTGTACACATGGATATATTGGAGCACCATACTATAGAGATATTCAATATATATATATATATAGGTTTACACACGGATATCAATTTATTGGAGCACTATACTTTAGAGATATTCTATATTAATATTAGGTGTACACTTGGATATCAATATATTGGAGCACTCTACTATAGAGATATTCAATATAGATATAGGTGTATACATGGATATTTATATATTGGAGCACTATACTATAGATATATTCAATATAGATCTATAGGTGTACACATGGATATCAATATATTGGAGCACTATACTATAGAGATATTCAATATAGATATATAGGTGTCCACATGGATATCAATATATTGGAGCACTATACTGTAGAGATATCCAATATATGTATATAGGTGTACACATGGATATCAATATATTGGAGCACTATACTATAGAGATATCCAATATAGATATTTAGGTGTAAACATGGATGTATTGGAGCACTATACTATAGAGATATTCAATATATATATATATATATAGGTGTATGCATGGATATCAATATATTGGAGCACTATACTATAGAGATATTCAATATAGATATATAGGTGTATACATGGATATCAATATATTGGAGCACTATACTGTAGAGATATCCAATATAGATATATAGGTGTACACATGGATATCAATATATTGGAGCACTATATTATAGAGATATTCAATATAGATATATAGGTGTAAACATGGGTATCAATATTTTGGAGCACTATACTATAGAGATATCCAATATAGATGTATTGGTGTATACATGTATATCAGTGTATTGGAGTACTATACTTTTGTGATATTCAATATAGATATAGGTGTACACATGGATATTAATATATTGGAGCACTATACTATAGAGATATCCAATATAGATATATAGGTGTAAACATGGATATCAATATATTGGAGAACTATACTATAGAGATATCCATTATAGATAGATATAAAGGTGTACACATGGATATCAATATATTGGAGCACTATACTATAGAGATATCCAATATAGGTATTTAGGTGTAAACATGGATGTATTGGAGCACTATACTATAGAGATATTCAATATATATATTGGTGTACACATGGATATCAATATATTGGAGCACTATACTATAGAGATATTCAATATATATATATATATATATATATATTATAGGTGTACACATGGATATCAATATATTGGAGCACTATACTATAGAGATATTCAATATAGATATATAGGTGTACACATGGATATCAATATATTGGAGCAATATACTGTAGAGATATTCAATATAGATATATAGGTGTATACATGGATATCAATATATTGGAGCACTATACTATAGAGATATCCAATATAGATATATATGGGTACACATGGATATCAATACATTGGAGTAATATACTATTGAGATATCCAAAAAAATATAGGTGTACACTGGATATCAATATATTGTAGTACTATACTATATAGATATCCAACATAGATATTGGCATACACTGGATATCAAAATATTGAAGTACTATGCTATAGAGATATTCAATATGTAGGCTAAACTGGATATTCAATAATTGACTATCAAATATGTGATGTGGGATCAATCTGAATATTCAAGATCCATACATACACTGCATGATATCAACTATGTATATGGTTTAACTACTGGATATCACCATATTTAATTGCCTGGATATCCGATATCCAGGCATGTAAAAGTTGAGAGGGTTGTTTACACGATTATTAAAGAAAAAGCCGTCATCTTTTCCAAACTGCGGTAAGCGTCATGCAATTCATCATGTTACAATATCTATAGAACAATGGCTTATTATAAAATAACTATTTCTCCGCCCTAAGCAAACCGTAGTGAGGCAAGTGTGGGGGGGGGGCTCAGGATCTGGGAAATCAAGGGGGGGGTCTTAAAACTGGGGGAGGGTATGGGAGCGAACCTGTCTCCTGTAGAACTTCATACCCTGAGATTAAATCTGCCTCAAAGATATTGGTTTGTCACCTATCTATGTAATCTTACTCATAACATGTGTCACTCAATCAAACTTGAAACTAGATGAAAGTGGACTCATGTTATTTTTTGCAGATAAAAAAAACTGAAAAAGGTCAGATTATGACGGGTAATTATAAGCGCTGTCGACATAATTTCAAGTGACCCTAAATTAAAATATTTCAATGACCGATTCACAACCGTATCCTTTGGTCCTTCATCGAATTAAAATTGAAATAAAATTTGTTTTCAATATTTCGTTCCAATTCTCTTTTACTACATAAATCTGCAAGCCTCTAGCAAAGCTAGAACTCTAATTAAAAATTATCAAATTTAAGATAAAAAAATGAATAACTCTATCAATTTTGATCAGACAAAGCTAGGTTTAAAGGACATCATATTAAATAGGATATGCCACTCTAAAAATAAAGCGTCACTTGAAATTACGTTTACAGTCCCTTTAAATGGATTAAGATTTTGCCAATCCCACCAAGGTAAACCTTTAAACGTAACTGTTAAAATATTGGAAATCCAAGAACACTTAAAAAAAAATTCTTAAAGGTTTCAAAGTTGAGATCAAAGACCAGGAACCTGGTATCTGTGTAATAGTTTCAGAACTGTTTTTTGTGTTGTTAAACTAAACAATTTTTACAATTTTTACCTTTTTTGAATTATTAACGGATTTTGATGATTTAACGTTGCTAAATTCGGTGTTTTAATTTGAGTATTTTGAAGGAATTTTTCTCGCTTTTAAGCGGCTTCCACATGGCAATTTTGATTTGCACAAAAAAAAAGTTATTTATAGATGTTGGTTGTTCATCGAGTCCAATTCCTATTCCGACCCCCCCCCCCTGACAATACATATTCTGATGTTTTCTTGTATATCTTGAACCCAGAGAACATAAATAAATTGAACACATGAATGCATTACTAAGAGAACAGGGTTGTTGACACAAATAAAAGAACAACAGGGATATTCGGTAACTTTATTGAATAATAGCATGAAATGAAATAAAAGCAAAGTTTAAAAATATTGACCCTTAATTGGGAGTTTCTAAACGGTTGAAAATGAAATAACATTGATTATTAGTGTTGAAAGGAATGGAACAGTTGGAGCTTCATGATGGTCAGCTTGCAGGTGTCAGCATCTTGGCAGCAAAGGGTTCACATCTAGGCGACGGTCCTGGAGGGTTTGCAGTCTGTAACATGTGTGGGGAGGAACGATTTGCCTCTCATACCACAGGACATGCGACTGTTTTGTGGATTTGGACATCTGGAGGCTTAGACATTAGCAGCATTCGTTGCTAGAGTAGGCATCTGCAGCAGTATGAAGGAGTTAGTAGTTCCTAGGATCGGAGGTGTTCACATCTCGACGTTCTAAAGCTAACTGACGCTGTTCCCCACAAGTAGAGGCGGTAAGGGGGGGGGGAACATGAGGAGACACATTTGGAGCGGATATAGTATTATAGTATTGTGAATCTTCCGCGGTCAACTTCGCTACACAGTAGTAATCGTCTTCGTGTTTTCTTGAATTTGTTGACATTGGCCCCTGGGAGGGGTTGGATTAAAAGAGGATTTTTAATCTAACAGAAATAACAAATTCAACCAATTTAGATGTAACCCCCCAATTTCAGTTATTTTTAAATGTTGACACAAATAAAAGAACAACAGGGATATTCGGTAACTTTATTGAATAATAGCATGAAATGAAATAAAAGCAAAGTTTAAAAATATTGACCCTTAATTGGGAGTTTCTAAACGGTTGAAAATGAAATAACATTGATTATTAGTGTTGAAAGGAATGGAACAGTTGGAGCTTCATGATGGTCAGCTCACAGGTGTCAGCATCTTGGCAGCAAAGGGTTCACATCTAGGCGACGGTCCTGGAGGGTTTGCAGTCTGTAACATGTGTGGGGAGGAACGATTTGCCTCTCATACCACAGGACATGCGACTGTTTTGTGGATTTGGACATCTGGAGGCTTAGACATTAGCAGCATTCGTTGCTAGAGTAGGCATCTGCAGCAGTATGAAGGAGTTAGTAGTTCCTAGGATCGTAGGTGTTCACATCTCGACGTTCTAAAGCTAACTGACGCTGTTCCCCACAAGTAGAGGCGGTAAGGGGGGGGGGGAACATGAGGAGACACATTTGGAGCGGATATAGTATTATAGTATTGTGAATCTTCCGCGGTCAACTTCGCTACACAGTAGTAATCGTCTTCGTGTTTTCTTGAATTTGTTGACAAGGGTGGATATATTTAAAAAAAATTCTCAGATTTCAGGTTTTTAAATCAAAACAAAATGAAGACTAAAACACCCTGTAATGGTAATTTAAGAATCTAAATTCTGGAAAACAAATTTTTATCAAGATTCGAAATTTAAGAGTCTTAACGAGAGAAGAAATTGGAGAAATTTGATTTAAGATTTTATAAGATATTTAAAGAACTGGGAGCTAAATATAATTTATGCTATCAGCAGCTTATCACAGAAATATAAAGAATATAAAATGAATCCTGCTGAGTAGAATAATTTCATTTTAATTCACCAATTCTTAATCCCAGCGGAGGGATGAAAATTTAATTTGATATCTTCAGTTTTAAAGCTGGACCTGCCCCACCCATTCTTCATCATGTTTTCTATTATCAAACTGAGTTTCTAATCAAGAAAAACCTAAGAAAAGAAAAAAGGGAAATAAGAAGCATGTTGGATACATTAAACAATGTGTGCTTAATATTCAGGATGTATTTTCTCAATCATATGGAACACATTTGAGCACATAAATTGTAAACGAAGAGTGGAAGGGGGGGGGGAGGGAAGGGGAAAAGGGTGGAAGAGGACAGTCACAATTTGCATAAATCTTAGTAAGTAAGAAAATTTTCAAAGTTCTAATCTGCTTAAATACTTTTTATTTTATATATTTTTCCTTTTTACCTTCTTTAAGTGTTCCTAGTTCTGCAGCTTGTCCTCCTGGAAATATGGATTTAACGAATATTCCCATATTTCCTCTCGGAGAATCCTTCCCTCCGACCACACTGAACCCTAGACCTTTAGCTCCTCCTCCCTTGTGGAAAAGTACGGTATGCACCGTGACCTGAACACTCTTCTTCGGTAGAACTCCACCATCTCCTGTTTCTTGAACTCCCAGGGGACTTCGCGGTATTTCAGGCAGGATTCGTTCACTGCGGCTAGAATTACCGCTCCTTGATCCTCCTTCGTACATTCCGGACGGGATTTTAATCACAGTTTTTATTGCTCCCTCACTACCGGAGAAATCACAGACATCAATAACATAGTTTGATTCGTCAGTGATCTGGGAGGAATCGGAAGTTTCGTGCAGTTCTCCGGCAATAGGCGCAGATTTAGGTCGCTCTATCACAGGTAACCTTCTTTTCCGTCTGCTCAGGGGCTTAGGAACATAGGATTTGGATTTAGTTGGATCCGGAGACCGTGCTATGATGATATCCACATTCCGGGACGTATTCTTTAAAATATTTCTAGCCTGCTCCATACTCAGACCCCGTAGTGTAGATCCGTTCACGTTGATTATCTCGTCATTCACCTGGAACCTGCCATCCCTGTAATATTCGGAGTAGAGAGGACGGATATACGGGTAGAGTGGGGGATATAAGGAGTAGAGAGGAAGGATACACGGAGTAAAGTGGTGGATATAAGGAGTGGAGAGGACTGATACACGAAGTAGAGAGGGGGGTAAAAGGAGTAGAAAGAACTGATTTAAGGAGTAGAGAGGGGGATATGAGAAGAAAAGATGTTGGATACAACAAGCAGAAAGGACGGATAAAACGAGTAGAGGGCGGATAAAAAGAGTTAAGCGGACTAAACAAGGAATAGAGAAAAAGAATAAAGTGAGGAAGAAAACAATACAAAGATTATATAAAAGGAGTAGAGAGGGCGGATATAAGGAGTAGAGAGGACGGATACAAGGAGTAAGAGGACGGATATAAGGAGTAAAGAGGACGGATATAAGAAGTAGAGAGGTTGAATACAAGGAGTAGAGAGGTTGGATACAAGGAATAGAGAGGACGGATATAAGGAGTAGAGAGAATGGATACAAGGAGTAAAGAGGACGAATATAAGAAGTAGAGAGGTCGGATACGAGGAGTAAAGAGGTTGGATACAAGAAGTAGAGAGGACGGATATAAGGAGTAGAGAGGACGGATATAAGAAGTAGAGAGGACGGATATAAGGAGTAAAGAGGACGGATACAAGGAGTAAAGAGGACGGATATAAGTAGTAGAGAGGAAGGATATAAGAAGTAGAGAGGACGAAACAGGGAGTTTAGAAGATGGATACAGAGCATATAGAGGACGGTTAAAAGGCACTAAGCGTATTGAAGAAGTGAGCAGTAAACATAAAAATTTGAAAAAATGGAAGAAGGAACAAAAAGACAAAGTGTGTGCAGAAAACGGAACAAAGAAACTTTGCCACAAACTCAAATTTTTGGATCCTTAATCTTTGAATACGGATGGCGTAAACCTTTGACAAGATCTTCAAACTTAGAAACTTTTTAGTTACAGAATTTGCCATTTTAAATATCTAAGTTCTATGTTAGAAAATCAAAGTTTGTGGCAAAGACTCAATTCCGAGGAGGGAGTGGAAATAATTATTCCTTAGAAAACAAACTGAAATCAAGAGAGTTGAAATAAGAAAATAAGATTAAACCTATAAGTGTTTTAATCAACATATTAGACTCAGGAAATAAATATGTATAAATTCTACAAGATAAATATATGAATGAAAAGCAGGTTTTTGCTCACATATCCTTGAACCTTTTCCGATACCTCTTCCCATCAAACCAGACTGCAAATCATCTTCTTCATTAGAGAAAGGTGAGTTAATTATCTTTACACTTCCTAGTGATCTAAAGTGAGATCTAAAACCTGCATTTCATCCCGATATATTGAGCTAAGCTGAGTGTTTATTGTCTTTTATTCAATGGTTCTCTGCTTTGTTATTCCTAGGTCCAAACCTGGGTTTAGTGTTAGTTTAAGTTCTGTCTAGACAATATGACAATGTTTTTTACTGTTTTGAAGAAATATTGATCTTAAAAGTGTTTTTATTTCTGATTTTTAAATAAAACCAACCTGTAAACTAAACCGTTGGGTTCAATGTATGCAATGATGTATCCTGTAGTTTTCTTATCCTTGTTATATTTCTTGGTGATAAGAACTCCTAGCTCCATACCAGCTTCCTTCACTAGCCTACACATCCTAAACTGTTTATCAACCAACCCGGAGAGTATTGGTGGCAGAGAGTCTCCAAAATCAAGTGGAAGAGAGGTTTCTCCCGCCTCTCCTTCAAACCTTGAGAGTTCTCCGTCCCCGCTTCGAACTCTCCTCGCAGACTTATTGTGAGCAAGGGACTCTTGTCCTAGTTTATTGGATGAAATAAATTTGTTTGAAACTTCTCCTTGTGCTCCGCTCTGCAGGGTGAGTTTATGAGTAAGGTTTGAAAGATTTTCATCTTCATTGTTAAATCTGGTGGTAGCAGGGAACTGACTAGTATTCCATTCAACACTGAGACTCGTGACATTATGATGGAATTGATCCAATCCATCAACTCCAGAATCAGTATTTTGATCACCTTGAACTTCCGGTGAGCAGAGTTCACTTTCTTTGACAGGTTTCACCTGCTCAGGGCGATTCTCCGGCAGGACAGAGCTAATTTCACTCAGGTGTGCAATATCAAAGGATTGAACACAGGATGTACAATTCATGTCATCATTCTTGGTTGGATCCGGAGACCTAGGATTGATATTTTCAACCTCAACCTTGACCTCGGATTCTTTGTTCTCTTTATTATCTTCTCCTGTATCAAGGGAACTCACAGGATTTACCTCTTCTTCCTTGTTTGCCAAGACCCCAAACTCACCTTCGTTAGGTTTAGATTCAATCTCTTCACAAACAACGTTGTCCGCGTCAACATTATTTAAATATTCTGAATTAGCGCCGGGCGCACTTAATTTAGTTTCAAGGTCAGCTTTGACAGTTTTGTTATTGGTTTGGTCATCTTCTCTTGTCTGCAGAGGACCTAATGCTTCCGCACTCTTTACGCATTCAGGATTTTTAAATAGTTGCCCAGAACTCACATTGGTATGCTGGAAGGATAGTTCACTGTGTGACTGTTTAAGATCATCATTTAAAAGTTGGACGGAAAGGTCTGATTCGTTTGTTATATCACTGATAGTGTCGGTGGATAACGCTGACACTGATATCTCAGAATTCTCGTTTCCATCAGACTGTTGGTCAGATTCATTACTTTTTGGTTGGCTAGACAACATGCTGGTTGGTTGGACGGAGATATCACTTACAGATTCTATACTCAGAAGTTCAACTGGTTCTGGATTAGGGTTGGATAGATTTAGATTGGTATTCGGAGTAGAAAATAATCTGATCTGACTTTCTTGGTTGACTAGAGATTGTTTTATGGAGTCCGAGGACTGGAAATCTTTATTCGTTGCTGGTTTTATTTCATCTTTTATGTTGTCTGTAATATTTCGGTTTATAAATAATTCATGATTAGAGAAGGTGACACAAGAGGATTGATTAGTGGATGAAAATATTGATATATCATTGGAACCTTGTGTCATATTTGTAGATGAAGAATTATCTGCTTGCATTAGGATGATGGATGAATCTGGATCAGTGGTGGAATTACTAGTAGAGGGAGATGAATTGTCACTGGATGAAACTCCTGGAGGGATTGCATTGTCGGAGGACAACTCCGCAGCATCACAACAGAGGCTGGAGGATAAATTGGTTTCCTCCGAAGGATGTATTGAGGAGGAATCGCTAGCTTGGGATTGATGTTCAGAGGATGTTTCGTTGGTTTCGGATGGATTTTCGGAGATTAAATCTAAAGCAAGACTATTGTCTTTTAATGATAAATCATTTTTAACGAATAAATCCATCTCAGATTTATTTTCTTTAACCGAACATATTCCCTGATTATTTTTCTGATAAACAGCTGATAGTTTATCTTCATCTGATAAACTTAGGCAGGTTCCCATCTTCTCCTCATCCGTCCTGTTAAACACATCCAGTAAAGATACGCTCTGTCTTTCCATGTTCCCAGACAAACAGTCCTTGTCTCCGACTAGGGGTAGAGACAAGTTCTCTTCACTCTCAGCATCAATAATATCTGGCATCTTATAAATCCCCAGTTTAAAATCTAAACCGGAGATGTTGCAACCTTCTCGTTCAGGAATGGCTCCGTTTGTTGTTGTGATTGAATCTAAGCTGAGATCTCTCTGTTCCAGATCACTTTGCTCAGATTCCTCTCTGATCTCCAGGTTCTCCTCGGAGTCAAGTTTAACACTTCTATTCGAGACCGGAGAGTTTGATATACTAGTGTCAGAACTCTTGTCGGAGCCGCTCTTTCTAGTTAGATCACTCTCATATCCAGACTCCTCCGTAGACAGGTTCAGAGGGCAAGGTTTCTCAGTTCTATCAATATTTACGCTCGGGGTTTCAATTTTAGGCTTTTCCTCTATCTTGGTTTTCTTCTTTTTCTTTTCCCTCTTTTTGCATTCTGTTGACTGAAATTAATTTGATATTAAATAAAATAAAACCCTTTTAGAAGATTTATTAAGTCTAAATAAAAAGTTTCAGGATTAGGATTAGAATCTAATATGTTACGGTTTGTCAATTTTGCTGTAATAAAAGAGAGGGGAGGGGGGTGTAAAAGGAAGAAGGGGGGAGGGATGTGTAATATTTTAGTCATGGTCTTATTAGGATATGATCACTGACCAAGAAAAGAAAAGGATCGGTGTAAGATAAAGCTAGGATGAAATCACGAAATCTAGAAGATATTATAAAGATAAAAAAATAAACCTTAGATTCTTGAGTTTGCTGATTTTGCTTCTCCATCTCATCTGGACAAATATTACCGCTCTCCTAGAAAAAAGGTTTACTATCTATTCTCTTTATATTTTCAATTTTGTTGTAAAAAAATAATATAATTATGCAAATATTTACTTTTATGAAAACAAAATATAGTTATATTGTATCAACTTGTACTTTATATAAAGCTGTTTCACAAAGGAATTGAGTTCTTGCAACCAACTCAAATTTTCAAATCCCCTAAATCTTCTCAACCTGATGGTGTAAACCTTTGATATTTCAAACTTAGATTATTTGATCTAACAGAAATTCATAGACTTCATCATCAAAGGTAATAAATTATTGGTTTGCAAAGATATAGGGATTAAAAAGTCATAGTTTGTGGCAAAGACTCAATTCCTTTATAAACACAACTTTAAATCTAGCAACCTAGGGTTCATAAACACAACTTCAACTCTAGCAACCCAGGTATCATAAACACAACTTCAACTCTAGCAACCTAGGTTTCACGAAGACAACTTCGACTCTAGCAACCTATGGTTTCATAAACACAACTTCAACTCCAGCAACCTAGGTTTCATTAACACAACTTTAACTCTAGCAACCTAGGTTTCACAAGCACAACTTCAACTCCAGCAACCTAGATTTCATAAACACAACATTAACTCTAGCAACCTAGATTTCATAAACACAACATTAACTCTAGCAACCTAGGTTTCACAAACATAACTTTAACTCCAGCAACCTAGGTTTTTTTAAACATAACTTTAACTCCAGGAACCTAGGTTTTTTTCACAACTTTAACTCTAGCAACCTAGGTTTCACGACGACACCTTCGACTCTAGCAACCTAGGTTTCATAAATACAACTTTAACTCCAGCAAACTAGGTTTCATAAACACAACTTTAACTTTAGCAACCTAGATGCACTCCCTACCTTAAGAATAGACGTTGAAGTTCTGAGTAAAGATTTAGATTTAATTTCAGGTTTTCCGTTCTTCCTTTGAGTTGACCGACCCCTGTCAGGGGCCTCGTCGTGGAACTTGACAACCCTGTTCTCCTTCGGTTTATCACTTGTCTCATCCCTGTACATCCATCCTACTCAGGGTACACCAAAACACAGTTAGGGAGAGGGGGTATCAATCCTACTCAGGGTACACCAAAACACAGTTAGGGAGAGGGGGTATCAATCCTACTCAGGGTACACCAAAACACAGTTAGGGAGAGGGGGTATCAATTTTTAGGGGGGGGGGTTAGTCTGAATAAGGAAACACTAAAACCTACCAAGGAGAAATAGGGTTAAAATTTTTTAATGAATATTCATTCTTGTTGTCAGTTTAAGTTTAACTGATTTATCCAATTAAAAGTATTTAAAGCTTAAAATGCGGGCGCATGAATATGTGTTAAGCTTAAAAGTTATGTATTTTGTTTCAAGAGCTGGAAAATAATTCTTGTCAAAAAATCCTAATTTTCACAATTTGGTGGGAGGTTAGATAATTGAAAGTTGCTGGTACGAGTAATTCTCCGGGTATATAAAGAGTACGGATGGTTTCCTAAAAAAGATCTGGTTTAGGTTCTCCAAGGATGAGTTTCTTCTCTTTAATCTGAGCAGAGAAACATATTTTATACGAACCCTTTTTTAATCAATAAATATGTGAACTCTTCAAATGTGTATTTTTAAAGGAATACAAAGTTCCTTGATTTTTGTTTGTTTATTCAAGGATAGTTTAACGAGAACAACTTCTAGAAAAACACAACTTTAGACCCATTTTTTAAATAATTAATTAATAATTAATTATTTTTACTTTTTGCGCAGGTTTCTTTGCCGGTATAGTTTTCTAGATTGTAAGTTTATGATAGGGGGCAAATCAGTTTATTAATTTCAACGACCATTAAAGTTGACGCATGTTTAAAAATAATTACTTGATTAATGATAAATTACTGCCGGACATGAAACCTTGATTTTAAAGAAACTTCAAACGAATTGGCAATCCTCAATTCGCTAATTAGTAATTAAGCGCGCAAAAACTGCGCATTAATCCGTGCTCAACTCAAATATTTTGAAATATTTCAATGCCAATTTTCTGGCGTTGGACATGTTAATTTTTTAAACCACCGCCGTATTGCAGTTTAAAAATGAATACATTTGTAACGCTATGCTTGCGGCTCTAATGTCGAGGAAATAAAAGTTCTCAATAATTTGAATTTGAATGGAAAGATATAAAGGTATCGACTCAAAGTTAAGTAAAACGTTTCTCTGAATCTTAATGCTGACCACAACCTGGATAAAACTTGCCGTGTATTCAATTATACCCAGATATCATGAACCAACACTGAAATATGCAATATCTATCTGAACCTCCTATCTATATCGTGTATTCAAGTATTCCTAGATATCATGAACCAACCCTGCAGTATACAATATCTATCTTTACCTCCTATCTATACCATGTATTCAAGTATACCTAGATATCATGAACCAATCCTGCAGTATACAATATCTATCTTTACCTCCTATCTATACCGTGTATTCAAGTATACCTAGATATCATGAACNCCAACACTGAAATATGCAATATCTATCTGAACCTCCTATCTATATCGTGTATTCAAGTATTCCTAGATATCATGAACCAACCCTGCAGTATACAATATCTATCTTTACCTCCTATCTATACCGTGTATTCAAGTATACCTAGATATCATGAACCAACCCTGCAATATACAATATCTATCTTACATCTCAAATATTTAAATACATAAGTGGGGAATATTCAGTGATATCAGAACGAAGGATAGGAGGATAGAGTTTGTTCACATTTTATTGTAATCTATCAGTACAGAGCAGGAACTAGTTTTATTGTAAACAATACCTTAACGAAGATTGTAAACAAGGTGAGGGCAAACTCATATGCAGGACAAGAACTGTTTTCAAAATTTGGTTGCAAGAAAATCAGTTCTTAAAATAGATGAATATGTATATTTATATTAAGTTCTAAATCTACTTAGGAATATGCTACCTAAAACGGTAAATGTAATATATCTAAAAGGATATCTACATACGGTATGAAGCTATCTATACCACATATTTAGTAAGCCTAGGGTTGGCAATATTTTACAATCCTAGAGTGCTCACCAAAGATAATAGTGTACTAGAGATGGGACAACAGGTCAAGAGCAAAGTGTACAATAGATGGGAAAACAGGTCGTCAGAACACAAAATGCGCAATAAAAATACCAAATACACAATGTATTGTACACGTTTAAGGAAAAGAATATCATAATGTTTATCTGTCTATCATTTACCCATTTTAAAAATTTAGTTTACTGCAGTGTTTACGAGATTTTGTAAACATATGATACAATACGGATAATATCACTGTCCGATCTAGCGTAATCTTTTATCTTTGATGCAAAAACTAGAGAAGGATTAAAGCAGGAAACTCTAAAGTTGCAGCAGGTTAGGCAGGTTTATGTTCAGTAATAAACTTTATATGTGAAATATTTCAAATGTCGCGCAATCATATGTTTTATGCCTGAAGGTTTCATGAGGGAAGGGTAGAGCATGGATAGGGTAACCATACCAGGCCCGCTCTCCAACCCTCTCACTAGACTTAGATCTTCTAAAATATAAAATATGGAAATGAAATATGACGATGATGAGATGTTTGAGATATATTTTAAGCTGGATTGGAAAACTAAGAAACTCAGCTGAAAGAATGACAATACTAGATAAGTTGAAAGCAGAAAAAAATGAAATTTCGCATACATTTAGCTTGTCGTTTTTCATATTTAGTTTGTCATTTTTTATATTTAGCTTGTCCTTTTTATATTTAGCTTGTCCTTTTTATATTTAGCTTGTCCTTTTATATTTAGCTTGTCCTTTTTATATTTAGCTTGTCCTTTTTTATATTTTGCTCGTCCTTTTATATTTAGATTGTCCTTTTTAATTTAGCTTGTCCTTTTTCATATTTAGTTTTTAATATTTAGCTTGTCCTTTTTTATATTTTGCTCGTCCTTTTATATTTAGATTGTCCTTTTTATATTTAGGTTGTCCTTTTTTATATTTAGTTTGTCGTTTTTATATTTAGCTTGTCCTTTTATATTTAGCTTGTCCTTTTCTATAATTAGCTTGTTTTGTATATAATAATAATGAAAGGGTTAGAAATAAAATGGATGACCTAGAAAAAATTGAATGAACAACCTTTTCTGTATTGAAATATTACCCAACCAAGTACATTATTTGACTGGTTTTAATCTCGTGTCTATATATTTATCTAATAATTTATAAACCTAGAATACCGGGTTTACAGGGACCGGGTTCAACCTTTTTCCGCCTTCATAATTCATAACTCCACAAAAAGTAAAGATTAATGTTGTGTCGATACAAAAGAGTAAACTCAACCCTAACCTCATACATTTCAACTTTCAGTTTTACCACAAAACCATGTGCTCATGTACACCGCGGGGGATTTAAACTAGAGTAATAGAAATTCACAATGCTTCGCATCAATTTTTACGGGATAAAAACCTACATGCAAGTTATGGAATTATATATTTAAATATTTGTGATTTATTCAATCTAATCAACAAAGAAAGGAAGAACCAAAAAAGAAAACAAAAGATAGAAAATTGTGTCATTTTATGAAAATTTTAATGTTCTGTTTTAGACTTATCCTTAATCAAAAATTCGTTTGGGGAGATTTTTTTAGAAAAATGTTAATTTGGAATTAATTATTAGGAAAGCTTTCGTTGAGGAAATTATACTTGAAAAATGTTCATTTGAGAAAATATACTTTTGTGGAAATGTTCATTATTTGCAATTATCCTTAAGAAAATTAAACTAAAGAAGTCGGCTTTGGGGCGGGGGGGGGAGGGGGCGAGTTTAATGTAAGAAATTAAATCTTTAAGAACGTAATTATTGGTTTCAGATATTTACCTGGTTGAGTGTCTGCAGGAACAGTGGGTTGGGAAGTTGAATATCTCCGGAGCCGTTGGGTCTGGTTGAATCTTACCATGGAGAATAAGATTCTTTAGAGACTCAACACGTCCTATCCTCTTATCTGGAAAATAATCAGGGATTGCAACAATAAAAAAATGTCAAATTTTCATCCAACAAAATTTGTTGGAGTTCTGGAGCCAAATTCAAATTGTTTTCAAATTTTTATGAATGAAAATTTTAATCAACAAAATTTGAAGAATAATGCTACTAAGTTGAATTTTGCTGCAGTGCTCCAACACATTTTGTTAGATAGAAATTTGGTATTTCTTAGATTGCGGTATTATTGAAATATTGTTGTATGAAAAACCAAGCTAAAAATCAAGTGTCAGAAATCTTCAAAACTTTAGAATGTTCAAATTAAAGTTTACGAAAATTACCCCCCCATCCCCTTATTTTCCATATTTTGTTTCTTTATTATTGAAATATTGTGAATACGAAATTTAATAAATATAAATATGTGTTAGTTTGTGTGTCCTTCGTTAATGTTGCTAAACAATGCTATAAAATAAATGAAAATTTTGCCTTTTATCTGAAACCTTGAAATTTGTTTCGTTGATCATAAAACCTGCGGATTCCCAGATCTTTGCACACATGGAAATATGCAGTTTCTACGTAAAATCTGACCGCGCCTAAGTCTTGGTTAAAAATTGCAGATTTACTGTGCACTGCAGTGTGCACGGAACAATGCACACTATATTAAAATGAAAGAACATAATTACATCGTGTTAGAATTAATTAGAGTGTTTATTTTTACAAGTTTTACCTCAACTAAACATTATATAACGATAGTTTCAAAATTGCTTGAGTTTAAAAACCAGTCTCCCATGAAAAAAGTAAGGTTTGTAATGGATGCGTTGTTAACTCTATATTATTTAATTGTCTATAAATAGAGTAGTTTGGACACCTGGATATAGATCAAAGTACAGAATTTCATGAGAATTTATGTTCTTTTTAAAAAAAGTCTGTTCTGATTGTTTGATCTCGATATCCAATGCGGGCACTTTCAAATTTTAGGATAAATGCTTGCTCCCACAATTAAAGTTATACTTGCAGGGTTCGGGCATCACAAGATATCAAAAAAAGAATTAGATTAATCCCTAGGTCTGAACAAGATGGAGATCGATCAATGCTTGATTTCGAGATTAACAATATAAAAGTTTTTATTTCTTAGCATTACTTGTCATTTTGATTATTTAAACGATACAATTGATTGTTTTCTATTGAAAGATTAAATAAAAGGATTCTTTGAATCTTTAAAAAAATGTTGTCAGCTGAGACATTTCAATAAATAGAACTGAAAACCAAGATGTACACGCTCTCAAGCAAAAATCTAGCATTATTTAGCCAACTACTCCTTTCAAACATGAGCTATGAAGCAATCACGTTGCAATTTTGAAATGTGTATTTCTCTATTTCTCTAGGTCCACAATTATGTATAAGTAAGTTTGCGAGGTAAAACAAACGACTAAAATTTGAAATCAATGATTTAAATTCAAAAGTTTTATTATAAAGATTATATTTACGAATTCAAATTCCAAACCTGGATTTTCCTCCTTAGTTCTGGTTCTAGATCTGCTCCGGACCCGACCAGATTTAGATTCTAAACTCAGGTTCAATTAGTCTTCATTGTTCTTAGTTTTGTGAACATGAGAACTCATGGTTTAGCAAAACCAATCTCAGACTTCTTGTTTATACCGGAGCTAACTTATTTGTTAAATATGAATTGATGATGAATGGAAGGCTTTATCAGATACAGGGTTTCAATAAAAATGGGAATTAAGTCACGACTTTTTTAATTTATGCATCTACTTAACCTTTATCTAACTGTTGAGGTCAAAATAAACATCTAAAAAATTAAATATTTTGCAAAGGAATTGACTCTTTGGAACAAGATCAAATATTTAAACCTCAATATCTTTAGAACTCGATGTTGTAAACCTTTGATATTTCAAACTCAGATTATTTGATCCAACAAAATTCATAATTTGAAATATCTAAGGTCTGCAACATTTGGTTCCAAAGACATAGTGATTAGAAAATCAGCGTTTGTGGCAAAGACTCAATTCCTTTTCTTATCTGATGTTTATTAAAATTTTGCATTTTTCTTTAATAAAAAATGTTTTAAAATGTGGTTTCAAGGATATCCAATGTTTATTGAGACTTTGTGTACATTACACGAAAACAAAGATTTGATCAAATTCCGATGAAAAGCAATAACAATAAAGTTTAACATCCAACAGCAGTAATTTACAACCATCAACTTCCACAAGAAACAATTAACAGTCATGAAACTTTAATTTTGACCAAGAATTGTTTGTTTTATCAAACATGAGCTGGAACATGAGCTGGAACAATTGAAAATGTACAGGGATGAGAATTCAGAGACGTATTGCTGTGTAGTTTTTATTTCTTCTATTCATTGTTCCTTACTATATTAACTTCCAGATTTGTTTACCAAATTAGTAAATCCCAGCATGAGTACCCAGCGTTGCCCAGGGTACTCGTATTTACTCCTGCCGTTTACCCGCACTTGGTCGTAAATTACGATTTTATATATTTTTCCCTATAAAAGTGGACCCACGCAACTTAGAAAATCTCAAACCTAAACTAAGAACATTCCTGTGGTTCTGCCAAGTTCCCCAACCAAACATTGAGGCAAAAAAGTCAAGGGGTTCATGAGTTATGATCGGACAAACAAACAAACGGAAATTACATTAAAGACTATTTACAAAGCAAGAGTTTCCCAAGGATTTCAGAATCTTCAAATATTTAGTTCGAAAAATGATTCTGAGAACTAAAGAAAAGAAGGGTTAGCAATCCCTGTTCTTTACTTCACAGCTGTGAATTGTAAAGCGTAGGTTAAGTATAGCTAGATATATATGTCAAATATTGTCTAATGATGTATATTGCGTATCTGTTCTTATTACAGTTTTTGTGGTGTATGAGCTGAGAGGAGGACATTAAGCCTGAATTATGAATGAATAATAGTATCCGGAGAAACTGTGCCTTCACACCAATATTTCTACTCGATCTAGCAAACCCAGAAAAATTGAAAAAATTGAAATATTAGAAATATTAAAAACTTGGAAAAGAATACTTCGTGAAATTTCTTGTAAATTATCTTTTTAGACAATCTGGTGAAATTTTAGAAATCCTTGAAAATATGAAAATTTGTCAAGGAGACAATTGAAAATGCATTAAACGTATACTATCCCATTAACGTATTTGTGCAAAAACCCGGCTATACATATATTACCAATACATTACTTTTATGTTTTCTCACACCAATAAAATCCAAAGTGTTTAGATAATATATATATATATATATATATATATATATATATATATATATACTTAAATAAAATTTCACCGAACTGTAATAAATCAAGTTTGTTTTGCTCAAACTAATGGAACAACGATTAGGTTAGATTAAGCTCAATTTAGTAGATGAGATTGACGTACAGCATAGTACCCAAGTATTACGACGGCCTACTGCCTGAAATATTGCCTGAAAAACTGCCTTGTTTGTCTTGAATATCATGAATTATTTGACAAGTATATTTACGTTGTTTCCTTCATAGATATCATCAGAACACGACACGACAACTTATTCTTTAAACTTAGGAATCATGGTAGGGGCGTGGAAAAGAATGCAGGGGTGAGGGGGGGGGGGCTGGGGAGGGGGCGGCACAGGGGCAGGTCAGAATTGGAAGGGGGAGGGTGTGTCACAAGTTGCCAATTATTGCACAAATGACGGAACTGTAAGCTTGCTCCTCCAAGTAAAGATGTCAATATCCAATTTACAACACTATTCTTGAAACCTTTATCTGATCAATTATGTGAAAAAATGTTTTTCGAGGTTTTAAAATGTTTAATTCTGATAATTTCTCTATGTTTTCCTTTAGTATAAATGCGCAAGTCACTTTTATAGAAATATACCACAATTGAAAATTATTCATACATACACTGTTAAAGATACCCTTGTGAATCGAGCATTGCCATTTTTTAATTGAGGGTCATTTGAAATTACGTTCACAAAAATGAACTTTATGGTCTATAAGAAAATCTTCCAAAGATTTATGAATCAATGTATATTGTGTATTGTGTAATGATGAACTCAAAGTTATGATTAAAGTTAATTATAAATCAATTGATGTTGGATTAAATTGATTGAGAACTGCTGCTGGTTATATCTGCTCCAGGTTCCTAATATCTTCAATTATACTCAATTATATCATATTAAACTATTGAGGAATTTTCCGGAAATGACCCACCACGATCTTCCACACCCACCTCCCTTCACCCCCCACCACCTTCCCCTTGTTTCCCCTACTCCCCCCCTTTAACCTCTCTTCCAGCCCACCTTCAACCCAAGACCTGGAGAACCTCGATAGTAATTCATATTTGATATATTCGTGCATATAATTTAGGTAATAAAGGATTGGATTGAAACTTCGGCACTTGATCTATAGATAGATAGATAATTAGATTGATAGACACCAGTTCTATTCAAACCATCCCAGTATCCTTGATATACTGGATAGTATACAGATATGTCAGGGATAGGGTAGGGATAGGGTAGGGATAGGGTAGGGATAGGGTAGGGTATGTAACCATGAAAAGATAATGCAGAATGAGTTGGTGGTAGCATGAGTTCCATGAGCTGATACAATACAAGAGAATCTGCAAACTGTCATCTTCTCAATCCCTGTCACTGATCAAGGTCTAAGGTTATCTAAGCACTGCAAGCACTGCATTGATTTCATGCTCTATACAATTATGCAATTTTGTATATTTGAGAACTAATAGAAAATTCAAATTCATTGAACATGAAAACTCTGCGTGTTGGAAAAATCATTATAAAAATAATGCACGGATATATAATACGGTAAAAACATGTTTATGTTTCTGTAAAATGATGGATTTGTCACAAAAAATGTAATCAATCCTTGCACACAATATTAACACGGAAACATTTAGTTCAAATGTTTAATTTTAGAAAATGATTATGATTTTTTTTGTACAAAAAATAACCTTCATTTAGAACAATTCATCATCAAGTTTGCTGTGTATAATTTTATGTAAATATTTTGAAAATCTAATTTTTTTTTATTTCCTGTAACTTCTAAGTATCATCACATGTCCCTGATTATGACCATTATTTGAATGAAACAACTACAAACATCTATTAAATTCTAAAAAATTTGTTGGTTTCAAAAATCGACACTTTGCCGTCTTTCCAGAGGGGAGTTTAGATCCTTTTCTTTCGTTGAAAGGGACAGACCGGCTATGTAAGGTAGTTAAACAATATTTAATATAAAATGGTGGCGGATGAATAATGAATAAAAGATATAAAGCCCTCTCTTTATGTAAAGTAAGTATGTAATTACGTTCTCCTCTCGGTTGCTTAACAACGTATAATCTCAAGTAACCCTTAATTCATAAACGGGCGTGTTCGATTCACAACGGCAACCATTAAAACTTTATCTCAGCAACAATGAGAAATATATTCCCGTTTTTCTTTCTGGAAAAGTACGAATATCTGATAATTTGCTACTTTATCTCTGACACGTAAATCTACATGTAACTTTAAGAGAGAAACGCAAAGAAAATAGAATATATATTAGAGGGGAATTTAGAGAATCTCTCGGTATGAATTTTTTCAGTCCCTTTCAGCCTGAAAGGAAGTTCAAAGTGTACAAATCATGTAAATGTTCATAAATTATATGCAGCAGAGTACATTAATACAGCATGTTCCCTAGACTATCCATTTCAATTTCGAATTTTTTAAAGCTGTTCAATAAACTTTATAATGAATTAGGTGAATAAAAAACATCATTTGATTTATAGTTATAACGGAAAATCATCGTTTGTAAAGTGAAAGGCATAGAGTCTTTGTGAAATGATCATTGGTCAATTATGAAACCAGTCTATTTCATAATTTGGTTTTTTTTAATATTAATTTTAGATTTTCTATAAAATGATATTCCAGGGCCCAAAAAGTTATATAGTATAAATATGTGAAGTACACCTGCAGTATGGAAACAGTACAACAAAATGGCCGATTTACACTTTTTTCTAGTAAATTCCCCTCTAATATATATTCTATTCTCTTTGGAGAAACGTCACAATTAAAGATTAATAATTTTCAAGCAGAAATAAAGAATTTATCATTCATCCTTTAGGGCATCGTTGAGTTTCGGACATACCCCTCACTAACAAAGGGTCACTTAAAATTTTGTCTACAGTCCCTTTGAGATAAAAATGGCGACTCCTTCAGTTTATCACGTACCACGTGGTTCATGAATTTGAATTGTGTACGCGGCATGTGTGTATCCACTCAGTAAACCTTTTGTAATAATAATATTCGCCGGAATTATGCAAATTCTCAAATTTAGCAAATCACCCGGGGCTTCAGGCTGGCTTGCAAAATTAAGCAAGGGACTCAACTCCCCGCACTAATTATAAAATGCGGGTAATCATCATATTAAAATGTTGCTTCTCTGCTATATTGTTTTCTTTATTTTTGCACAATAATGGATTTTTTAATTTTCTTGTCTTAAGAATGTTTCAGGCGGTTTCATTAATCAATTTGATAGAATTAATTATATATTAATATAAATATTTATCATGGTCACTAAATTCCAGGTCATCCCCCCCTCTCCTTCTTAGCCTTAGATCAATTTCAGCCCAAATCACACACACTTATTATGTCAAGAACGAGAGCAAGAACGAGTATAACAATCAAAGTAGGAGTAAGAATATAAACAAGAATAAGAAAAAATATGAACAAAAGTAAGAGTAAAAATTTGAACATAAGCAAGAATATTAACAAAAATCAGGAGTAAGAATTTGGACAGAAGCAAGAATCTTAACAAAAATTAAGAACATAAACAAGAGTAAGAACACAAACAAGAGTAAGTCTATGAAAAAAGTAAGAACATGAATATGAGTAAGAATAAGAACAAGAGTAAGAACTGAACAAGAGTAAGAATATGAACAAAATAAAGAATATGAACAAGAGTAAAAATATGATCATGAGTAAAAATATGATCATGAGTAAGAAAAAGAACAAGAGTAAGAACACAAACAAGAGTAAAAACACAAACAAGAGTAAGACTATGAAAAAACATAAGAATATGAACATGAGTAAGAATAAGAACAATAGTAAGAACTGAACAAGAGTAAGAACTGAGCAAGAGTAAGAATATAAACAAGACTAAGAATTTGGACAGAAGCAAGAATCTTAACAAAAACCAAGAACATTAACAAGAGTAAGAACACATACAAGAGTAAGGATAAGAACATGAGTAAGAACTAAACAAGATTAAGACGATAAACAATAGTAAAAATATGAACAAAAAGTACAAATATGAACAAGAACAAAAAAACTCAATCAAAATAAAGCAATACAAAAATATAAAAAATACCTTTGATATGAAGAGGAAGGTTTGGTTGAGCAGGTTCCTGCCAGGGTTGCCCAGCTATATATGGATTAGAATACTCCGGTAGGTACGGAGCATTCAGGGAGTAGGATACAGAGGGAGTTCTAGAGTACCTGGAGTCCAGGCTTCCACCCTTGTTATATCTCCCTGATCTACCCTCCCCAGATACATTCTACAAAAAAGTATTGATTTTTCTGACTGAATCAAACTGAGTTTTTTTTTGAAGAATCTTTATAAGATTAAAAAATCAGGCTATATTTATTAAATTGAACATAAGAAAACTTTTTATTATAAATCTGACCTTTCCATCCCTTAATAAAAAAGCTTACCGAAGGACCATCCCATCTTCCACCAGACCCTGATGGGTCTCTCCGTCCTCCAAGAGAAGTGTCCCACCTCCCTCCACCTCCAGGGGGTGTGTCACCTTTTTTACCCCAAATTCTCATCATTTCCAAGGTCCAGGGTTCCTCCTCCTGAAACATTATTAATGCGTGACTCTCTGATCTCAGTAATTGATATTCCTAGCACGAACACGGTCTTACGCGATCCATCTTCCCCGGTTCCACGGTTCTACGCGATTCATTTTTATCTATTCTATGGTCTTGCGCAATTCATTTTCACATATTTCATGGTTCTACGCGATTTATTTTCACCTATTTAATGGTATTTCGCGATTCATCTGTACATATTCTCTGGTTGTACGCGATTTTTTTTCCTATTTTATGATTCTACGCGATCCATTTTCAACTTTTCCATGATCTTACGCGATTAATCTTTTCCTTTTTTATTGTATTACTTTATGCGATCCATTTTTTTGCATGGTTCTGTGCGATTAATATTCCTTTTCTATTGTTCTACGCGATTAATCTTACAATGTTATTTGGTTCTACGCGACTTTATTCCAGTATACTATGGTTTAGTTCGATTAATACTCTTTTCTATAATTCTACGCGATTATCTTCCACTACTTCATGAATCAGTGCGATTAATACTCTTTTTCTATATTTCTACGCGATTAATCTTTCAATATTATTTGTTTCTACGCGACCATCTTTCCCTACACTGTGGTTCTGTGGGATACACCCTCTCATAGTTTTTGGTTATGTGCGATTCACCCTTTCCTATACGTTATGGTCCCACGCGCGCAACCCATCTTTTCCTATTCTGTGGTCCTACACGATTCTCTTTACTCTATCTTATTAATATGCGATTAATATGCGATGAATATGCGATTGATCTGTGCAATCCAACTTTTCTATCTCTACACAGTATTCTTCAAGATATTCCGCAAGTATATATTTTTTTTGAAATCATCTAATATATTATTGTTGTCAATGTTATAAAAAAATAAATGAGTTCTTGCCACAAACTCGCAGACCTGATATCGCAGACCTTTGATATTTCAAACTATGAATTTTGCTCTATCAAATAATAGTTTTAAGCATAAAAGGTTTACACTATCAGGTTGCAAGATATAGGGATTAGCAAGGGGTTTCAATAAAAACTTAACATTCAATGTATATCTTTTAAAGAGTTATATGGTTGGTTGGATTTGCAAAAAATCATTAAATATTTTAGTTGAGATTTTCCCTTGATTAATGTTTGTGCTGGTCTTGAAAATTATGAAAAATGACCAGAGCAATTATAAACAGTGCACTACAGTTTCCAGGCAATTACTTTTAATTATTATCCTAGTGTTTCAGGGATGAATTTCTACAATAAATATAAAAAAAAACAATGATAATAATGATTATATAATAAAATTATAACAATTTACGATATGATATATTATATTGAAAGTTACGTAATATTTTGCGGCATCTGGGCTCGGTTCCATTTAAAGCAATGAAAATCAAGGGAAACCGGAGATTTTAATCTTAATCGATTTCAAATAAGCTTAATCGAAATATAACAAAGCAATAAAGAAAAATCAATTATGATTGGTTACTCGAGGAAAGCATACAAAACCTTATGTATTGTTAAGAAACAATAAAAACTTTAAAAATGGCGATAAGACAAGGATAAAAATTTTTATCAAATGCTTTTAAATCTTAAATCTCCCCATCCCNATCTCATTTTTCGAGATCTTTGAAATTCCCGAAACCAGAACCAAAGAGAATCGTTTTCTCAACCTGAACAACTTGAGACAGAATTTTACATCATTCTGGATGCTCCGTGCCACTGCACACGCCAAAATTACTGGATGCTCCGTGCCACTGCACACGCCAAACTACTGGATGCTCTGTGCCAATGCACACGCCAAATTACTGGATGCTCCGTGCCGCTGCACACGCCAAACTACTGGATGCTCCGTGCCACTGCACACCCCAAATACTGGATGCTCCGTGCCACTGCACACGCCAAACTACTGGATGCTCCGTGACACTGCACACGCCAAACTACGGGATGCTCCGTGCCATTGCACACGCCAAACTACTGGTTGCTCCGTGCCACTGCAAACGCCAAACTACTGGATGCTCCGTGGTGACACTGAACACGCCAAACTACTGGATGCTCCGTGCCCCTGCACACGCCAAACTACTGGATGCTGTGTGCCACTGCACACGCCAAACTACTGGATGCTCCGTGCCACTGCACACGCCAAACTACTGGATGCTCCGTGCCACTGCATATGCCAAACTAATCGAGATTAATGTTTGATCTCCTCTTTTTCTTAATCTGAAGATCATTTCAATCTTTATTCAATATCCGCAGTGTACTTTTATCCTGAAAGAATAACTAAAAAGAAGGGATTAAGCATTGATCCTCAAATAAAAAGTGCCGTTAGTGGATATCGAGATCAATCGATCGAGATTTTGAGGATCCAAAGAGGTCGATAATGAATGGTCACTGACTAAATCTAATCTGAACCCCGCATATAAAAAATCTTCTTTAAAATAATTTCATGTCGTCGCGTCTTCGCCTTCAAAATGATTGTGAGTAAAGAAATGAAAAGCCAAGTTTCAAACATTATCAATTGTTACAAAATGTGCCTAGTAAAGTGAAGTACACCCGACATGGAAATTTCTAGTCCATTGTCTATTTATTTGAGAACACTGCAGTATGAGAGGCATTATGCCTGTATTTATGACTCTGTAAAAACTTGCATTTTTATTTAAAGAGTTTGTTTTATGACATGCTTCCGAACCATTCATTGAAATCATAAATTTAAACTCAGATTTTAGACGCAGCCCGACTTCTATACTGCTGTATCTCCTGTATCGTATTCCTAGCTGTATTTTCTGTATTAGATGTCTAGATGTATCTCCTGTATCGTATAAAAAGCTGTATCTGATATCTGATTATATTTCCTGTATCTGATGCTTAGAGCAGTATATACTGTATCGGATATCTGGCTAGCTGTATTTTATGTATCAGATGCCTTGATATATTGAGGGGTTGAGGGAGTTAGCAACTTTAAATATTTCAGGTTTTCGTGATATATTGAGGGGTTGAGGGAGGTAGCAACTTTAAATATTTCAGGTTTTCTTGATATATTGAGGGGTAGAGGAAGGTAGCAACTTTAAATATTTCAGGTTTTCTTTATATATTGAGGGGTAGAGGGTCAGGTTTTCACTTTTCTTATATCTTGACGGGTAGAGGGGGTTAGCAACTTTAAATATTTCAGGTTTTCTTGATATATTGAGGGGTAGAGGAAGGTAGCAACTTTAAATATTTCAGGTTTTCTTTATATATTGAGGGGTAGAGGGAGGTAGCAACTTCAAATATTTCAGGTTTTCACTTTTCTTATATCTTGACGGGTAGAGGGGGTTAGCAACTTTAAATATTTCAGGTCTTCTTGATATATTGAGGGGTTGAGGGAGGTAGCAACTTTAAATATTTCAGGTTTTCTTGATATATTGAGGGGTTGAGTGAGTTAGCAACTTTAAATATTTCAGGTTTTCTTGATATATTGAGGGGTTGAGGGAGGTAGCATCTTTAAATGTTTCAGGTTTTCTTGATATATTGAGGGGTAGAGGGAGGTAACAACTTTAAATATTTCAGGTTTTCTTGATATATTGAGGGGTAGAGGGAGTTATTAAATTTAAATATTTCAGGGTTTCTTGATATATTGAGGGGTAGAGGGAGGTAGCAACTTTAAATTCTTAAAAATTTCAATTTTTATGGGTTTAGGCAGTTTCCTAAAGGTTATGCTTTAGTTCTAGGTTTCCTCGTGCACAAATTTGCATAAAAAATATAAAAGAACTAGAGTCGGCTTAAANGGACTGCAATAATAGAGTGAATATTTTTTCGGGCATAGAAAGAGTAGGGTGAAGGGGGGATAATTTAGACTTATCGCTTTTCCCTCTATCGTACTCATTTAAAGCAAATACCAACAAATTCCCCATGACGATTAAGAAACCCAACCCCCCCCCCTCCTCGGGAATAGGAGAATTGCATGCAAAAATTGTATCAATATATATCTGTTATGGTCCATATAAGAATATACCACCCTGCAATTGGAAAAAAATGTGCAATCATATACTTTGGCCAGCTTGCACGGGGTGTAAAAGCAAATATTTTTGACCAACAAATATAAACTTTGATTGTAGGATAATGAGTTTTTAAATATAATTTTATTTTCTGAATTTCAAACTTTTCCGTCCAATTGAAAAAAAATCAGAATTTCTCCTGATTTTCTAATTCCAATTCCAAACAAAAATTGAGAAAAAAAAACACTTTAATAACCATATTTAAATTAAATTGAAGGGAAAATTTGACAATTAAATTAATTTTTTTTAAAGGTTTGTTAAATTAATGGATAGTAAAATATGAGCTTAAGTAAAATATGAGCTTAGCTTGTGAACTTTAATATTTTCTCTTTGAGCTTGACATTTTATGACTTTAATATATTCAAATTTGCTCACATTTTGCATATTCTTTAATTACTCAATTTATATGCAATGACGTATATGAACATTGAAATATCAACCTTTTATAGATAAAACTCAGCAGAATACAACTTTTTTGCAGACTTGCAAATACACAGGGCAAACTTAAGTAATCTTTGCAAAAATTATTCCCATAAATATATTAATTTTCAACCCTGTCCTCCCATAAACAATTACCTACCTTCTTTACTCTTCCCATAAACGTGTAACCCTCTCCTCCTCCCATACATGTATTTATCCCTTTTCCCTTCATCCCATGAACATGTACCTTTCTCCTCCCCTCCTCCCATAAACATATACCTTTCTCTGAGAGAGAGAGTCCTTCTTCATTACAAGAATAATTTGTCAATATTTTGAGTATGAATAACAGGCAGTCCTGGGGAGAGAGAAGATAGTTAAATATATAGATGGCACACGAACAAATAAGGGAAGAGGGGCTAGGGGAAGGGGGGTAGGGTGCTGGTATTAGAGGGGTGTGATATGTATTAGAGGTGTGCAATATAAAGTTTTTACGAATAAAAATTAACGTGCTAATTCAAAGATTGGCAAAGACTGATTACTCTGGACGGATTAGAAGATTA